TTTTTTCAAACACTAACATCTTGGGCTCATCTCCTTGCTCAATATTACTAAGGCCTGTGCCCTATTTTTCGAATCATATACCGGTATAGGATTTGAGATTTTATTGGACCTTGTTTTATCCTTAACCCTTTATTGGCCGATTAAAATATAAACAAGCCCACGCAATCGCCAAACCCGTACCTAAATCGGACGTAACTTTAGTTTGCACTGGACAAATTCCACGATCTTGGGCATTCTGGAAAGGCCTTGGCGAGAGGAGCACAATGAGCGTACACCCGACTCCATGGGATGCACTGGCCCAGCGCTGCAAGCCGGGGAAGGCCCACCAGCGCTGGGCTCACGCTCGAGATCTATCTCTATCCACCATTTCACCCCTGTTGCTCGTATCAAACTAAAAAATTTCGTATAGACTCCCGGGAACCTGCTTTTGAAGTTGAATCGGTGTAGCCTTGTCAACAGGTGACGTAAGCAGGGAAAATCCTGGTCATTGACCCACGCATCGTGCTCTGAGCGCAAATTTCCCGGGACCAACATTACGAGTGCTATAACTCAAGAACCGCTATTTGTATCACTTTGAAAATTGTTCGAGGTGGCAGCTGAGAGTTTTCTCTTTGACCTACATATTTCGATCTCTCCGAAAGAACTGGTAGTTTCATGACGGCATGTGCGATATGTCATCATGAAACCACCCTGTGCCACACCTGCAATGTTCTTCTGCACATTCACTGCTTCAGTCCTTTCCATGACAGCAGCTGAACAATTATGCTCAAATTTCCTATTATTGCTGAAAATGGGTATTCATCAGAAATATTATCGCCCTATGAATATAAAATGTAAACATTCATGCCTCAAACATGTAAATTTACAACTTCCATGAAAACCATTATGCCGTTATTATTGGTCGTGATGACCAATAACAACGGCATAAAAGGCACACATTTTCAAATCCTATATATAGGATTTTTGGCCAGCAAATTAAGAGAGGGTACTGTTTATACCCACAACCACACTGTAATCAGTGACCACACCATCAATTATTAATATCAAAATGTAATGCCTGAGGACCAGGGAGCCGTCTTTATATACGGTATTTGACGTCTCCCTGATGAGGACTACTAAAAAACATGTGTTCACAGCAGGGAGTCGTATAAACCCGGTGGTATACTCCCTGGTTCACAGGCTCAAGTAAAATAAACCATGTGCATGCCAATTACCGGTATCATGTTTCCTCCGACCGAAGGTCTCGGTACGCGGTGTGCCGCGTTTGCACTAAAGACAACATCAAGATGATACCGTAAGATCCCTCTTTAGTACATGTAGTATTGTACTCATCGAGTTATACCGTAAAAAGCCTGTATCAACGCCCGCCCAGTATACTGTAACACCAAGACTGCAAGAGGACAATGTCATGTACATGTATTTAATGGGGGGGGGGGGGGGGGGGGGCATCTTAAAATTACGCTCTTCATTAATAATGATAACACCTGTCACTTGTGTACACGCCTAGGTGCCGATATTCTTGTCACATTCAGATGATTCTTTAGCCATTTCAAACTCCGTCTAAAACGCCAATGGGAAAAAAAGTTGATCTGAGCTCAACTATTTCGCGTACGGGAAAGCCATCGCACGATGACTTTTCCGTACGCGAAATGTAGAAGTATGAATCGGCCTTTACTGCAAGACATTGTTATTAATATTATAACGAGTCGCAAATTTAACGATTGGCCAAAATTCATAGCCTCAACAGAACTTATTATGACGAAGAAATATCATTCGTTAAAACGTTAGATTTACTTCCTCGTTATGTCTAACGTAGTGTACAATACATGTACAAAGTACGCCATGACGTGAACATAAAGTCTGATTTCATTTACCTGTTTTGTACTGTCGCCAAGAGTACATGTCGCGTATAAAAGCAGGGCATGTATAGAAACAGGACTCGAATAGAAGCCTATTTTTTGAAGCGCGCCGTGACACAGAAGCATGGTTTGAATAGAAGCCACTCCCTGCAAAGTACATGTGTGGCAGTGTGCACTGCACAGTGCAGACCTTTTTGATGTTGACGTAGAAGCATGGTTCGAACCCCGGCTTATACGGCCGAAATGGGGTATTCACTACAATTGTAGGTAAATTTGCCGGCAATTCTTCCAGCAAAATATCGAATTTTCCAACGAAAAGAAATTGCTGGCAAATTCCGAGCAAAATATCGAATTCACAGAGGATCCGGGTGTGTTTTGGCAATTTTATTCAAATTTCGTTGGTTTCATTGGGCCAACGTCATGCTGAAATAGCTCGTGCAGGTTGTCAGGGGTACATAAATTTGAAATCATGCTCCAAAATCCGTAATACTGACACCATTATAAGTTTCGCTTTCCTCATCAGAGTCACCATCCACTTTTACCAAAGTAGACGGTTCATTCGAAGCCATTTTTGCCACAAAGCAGGAGCAAAATGGAGCAAAATATCGGAAACGAAAGGCAATGCCTAGCAAAATATGGAAAGTGATCGGGCAAAATATCGAAGCGCCCCGAGCAAATTTGGGCTAGGCCTAGTATTCACACGACAGCAAGTCAATAAAAGGTTGTTTACGCACCCTTGACGACAGGCACTTGCACGTTTTACAGGGAGTGACATACGAGAAAAGCGACTGTGTGGATTCACACAGCTGCACTTGACGACAGGCACGTTTGCATTTTTGAATGCTTCAAAGACCAGTAGCCATGGGTATTTCAAATTTTAAAAACACGCATACAATAATTATCATGTTCTAAAGAGCCGCATAAAAAATCAAGTCTTGTTTCGTGCTTTTTCGTTTAAATGTACTCGTGCACGCCACGATTATCGTGAAAGTGGGCCCCCAGCTCGCTTGCACTTTTCTCGTTCACAGGTAAAATGCCTAATCAACTTTCCGGTGCACGTGGATTTGCCTGTAGTGTGAATAACCTATAAGCACCTGCTTTTGTACACGACATTACGGCATCCAAAATAGCACCCGGGCCAAAACGCCCACACTCTGGAGATTCACTAAAAGTTTCTGCCTGGGACCTCATTACAGTAGTCTCGCTCCGAAGTTGGAGCCTAAGGCAGAAACAGCCTCAAGCTTAGTTAGGAACGGCGGTGTGGGTTTTCTGGTAGCTTTCGGAATACACTGTGCATTATTTGTTTATAAGAGCGTGCTACAAGAACGCAGCTAGATTGCTGAAAATAAGAACTTCCCGAGCTACCCCTTGGAACAACGTTCTTGGACACAAGACTAAAAGACTATACTATAATGGGCTTTACGGTTCATTGCTCACCCACATACATGTAAGTTACACAAATAACAAATCGGAACATGTTAACACACAACAGAAACACCCACATAAATTACACAAATCGAAACACACAACAGAAACATCACAACCTGCTATCAGAACATGCCCACTCACAAAGAAAAAATGGGGACGGAACATCAAAATAGTGCAATAAAACGAACAGAGGAAAACAGCACAAACAATGGAATGAACCGCATGCCGCATGAGGAAAATTACTATAGGCTAGCATTGCACAAAGGTTATGAAAGGATAATCCAAGATGAGTTTGGACGCCTCTTGCAGCTTCATGAAGCAAAGTAAATATGTAAAGAGCAGTGCAATTCGAGATGTGGCATAATTGGTTATGAACAGGATTACGGAAAACTACACCCATACGCCCTAAAATGCGAAGAAGAAAATCACGGTCTACGACAAATTTCATGTTTAGAGCCATCTACAGAAAAACTTCTCAATACAAGGAAAGAGGAATGGTCCACGCCAAATATGACAAAACTAGATAGCGAAAATCCAAAAGGGTATGAAAATTCGACACTGATAAATAACTAAAAGGAGAGAAGATTTAACTGGTGTTAGCTAAATGGCATGTAACTCTACCCAGTGACAAGGATGCGGGAGGGGGCATTATCTGATAGCAAGTCATGACAGCTCAACTAAACAGAGACACCATACCCACAACACAAAACACGGTACAATTTCTATATATATATTACAAGACTCAGTGTGCTCAAAACATGCATTGTACTATCCAGAATAGTTACTCCTAAAGAGCTTTTCAAGGACACCATTCCCGCCACCGCCCCGGCGCTTACCCCAAGATTGTGGTGAACTGGTCGTATGTCAAAACGCATGGAAAAGTATACGAAACGTGACAGGTTCGTCTCCACCAGCGCTTGGAGCTATTGTAAAGCTTGTTCTTTTTCGCCCAAGCTACGGAAGGGCTTCCTTGCAACTGCTGATTTAACACAAGTGTCGGACATCAAGTGGAGTGCCATTCTACTGCTTCTTTCACCTCCATGCATCCATTCCCATACAAAGTGAACGTGAACTCGGCTTTGCCTGTTCACCAGCGATTCAAAAATATCTAACGCGACCGTTGGTCTAACCTTGAAAAAGCTCTATTGCAGAATCATACACATATTTCTGTAATCTACATGTAAAACATATCCACAAGGGAAATATTGACTGTACAGATTCAGGGCCCAACCAATAAAGTTGTACCAATGGCGTTATGCTGCAGGCATAAGAAGTTAGGAAGCCAATTTTGAAGTCCGCCAATTATTAGACCAATCCTTAGGACAGAAAATGAGTGACGTGAAATTGAATAGTCACTCCATTTTTGAATAATTATTTTTTGCCCATGAACTCACAGCAGTGACCAAAAATCAACGAACGACACGACCCATGTAACGTTACTTACTACATATGTGAACACTAGACGTCAATCACAAAGGCATTGACATACTACCACTACAGTACTATCACGACTATCACGAAAATAGATACATGTACAGGAAAATGAACAAACAGTTCATAAAACATTTGTAACATTTCGATCATTTTTTTCAATTTTTCAATTTGCAAATCTTCATAGAATTTAGCATGCAATAGTCACAAAAACATTCAACAAGACAACAAATACAAACTTACGTACACCCCGATCATCCACACAATGAGCACAGTGAGAAATTGGTGGTGATCCACGGTTTATTGAATAAGAACCTCCATTTAGTCTGAGCCCTTGGTTGCGCGTGTGTATATGACCTGTCTGTGATGCTGAGAGACGACCTTGATCAGCCCCTTCTCCACCATCTCTCTGCACGCACGTCTGGCAAGAGATCCACGAATCTTCAGACGCTCGGACACAACAGCAGGAGTGATCAGCTTGTAGCTGGGGACTTCCTTGTAGAGCTTCTCGTACGTTCCCTTGTCGAAAAGCACCAAGTTGTTGAGCTTGTCACGGACCTTTCCCTTAGACCACTTCTTCTTCTTGGCCTTTCCAGAGCCAGTCGGCTTCGCCTTCTGGGACTTGGCGGGCGTCTTACTGCCCTTCGCGGGCTGCTTAGGAGGCATGATGTTACGGGCCAAAAACAATGCCCAAGTCCAAGGACACAGGACTGTAGAAAGGAAGAAGATTGTAGAACAGCAAGCGAGAAATGCGCATGCGCGAACGCTCCATAGCAACGCTCGCGCGATCGTGCGTTGCGCGTGCACATGTGATTCAGTGAAGCGCCTAGGCGCGCGCTAGGAGCAGGGGAGACTAGAGACGGGGTCGCGCCGGGTGCGGCCTTCCGCTTGCGACCAGGGATCAAGGGAGTCGTGGTTTTACGACTGCCGGCTACGAGTATGTACAGCTAGCTACAACTTTAGGGTTCACGGATTGGCATGCTAGCGTCGCCAGCTACATCATGCACGTGACAGGCGCGTGCATATACTGTCCCACACAATCGGTCAGTGCTCAAATCGCATTTTCCCATCAATATCACTCACTTTCAACTCTACGGGATTCATTACGGTTGGCTCAAACTGCCTGAATTTTTGAATCCACACGCACGAAAGACGTTCCAAGACTTCCACCGTTCGTATTTTTTCAAACGAGTTCCGGGTTTTCCAGTAACTTTGGCCAAAGTTCGGCTAAAAAAACAGGGGGAGCCGTTGCGTTTCCGTAAAATACTGAACGGTAGAAGGATAGCCAAGGTCGAGAGCAAAACAACAAGCCATTGTTTGTCAAAATCGAACAAGAAACGGCTCAGCGCATCTATTTTCCGTGCACGCGCGCGCGTACTTTGGCCGACAAGGTGTGGAGAATTTCTGAAGAAGAAGAATAACAAGAGCAGCAGCGCTCGGAACAGCCGTGCTGGATACTTCCAATCCCGACGATGGAGCGTGTTGGCTGTCGTGAGCTGCTGAAACGACCATGACATTTCTTTTTCTTTGTATACCCTACATATCTTGACGTGCCCTAGCTCAGTTTCGGCCTCTTTACAGGAAGAATATTTTCTTCCATGGCATCAGCGGCCAAACAGCAACAGATCGAGATTTGCAGGGCAAACAAAGGATGCGTGCAGCTACATCTAGTCAGGTTCGATGCAGCTGCGCTTTGCCAGAACCTCAGCAGATAAGAAAAGACGACAGAGTGTCTCAGATGGAACTGGATCTTTCGCCAAGACCGCCACCGCCGCCATCATCAAGTCCAGGTCAGTCAGAAAAATGAAAGCCCGAGTGAAGTGAAGCCACTGAAGCCAAGGAAAAATTCAAAAAGTACGCTCTCCGGCTAGACTTCGAGTCGATATTTTTTTACTTCGATAGGCGCTGTCGCGGCCTGTAGCGCGCGTCCATAATCCAAAATGGAGGCGCACGTGACGGGTGCTTTTAGTGGCAAGCCGTGAACCCTAAACTTTACAAGCAGGGAGTAGTACAATACCGTATACGGTATTGTACTACTCCCTGGCTACAAGCCTACACACACACTGTACAGTACAGATTACACCAGGGAGTCGTAAAATACCGGTATTTTACTACTCCCTGGACTACACTACAGACAGATTTAGCCGCTATCCATGTCCACGTCCAGGCCATTCTCATATCGGGCATTCATTGACTACTGAGTATACTAGTAGTACTGTCTGCACAACACACAAAAAACAGATTAATTTTGTCAGTACGAGTACATAGAGCCTAGACTAGACTAGAGGTCGTCACGACGTCAGTCAGGAAATCATAGGCTTAGCACTTACTGCCTTACTGGTGTGGTGACACTACACTACACTACAGTCTACACTACAGTACAGACTAGGCCTCTTTTGGGAAGTAACAGTAGTGTAGTAGTAGTGATCCTTGCATGGCTTGGGCAAAAAGTTGGGGGACCTCTCACTGGAAGAATCTGATCGATACGACGGTAATGATAATGATGTAGAGTCATGACGACTGGACAGGTCCAAATGATCCGAAACGCCGATCGCTGAGAGAATGCTAGCCGGCTACACAGAAGAAGGTAAACTAAACCTCGTGTTCACTGCAATGAATCGTTAGCTCACTCCATGAATCGATACAGTCTGTATCAGTACAGTCCAGTACAGGTGGAGATATAGATCTACAACGTACAAGTCAACTAAAAAGTGTCTCTACTCTGAAATTTGTAGATCGAAAGTTTAGGGGAACTGAGATGTACGGTACTAGTAATCCGTTGTAGTCAGTGTAGTTTTGGGACGAAAATCAGCTAAAAAAATCATTGCATGTAAAGTGTACAATCGTAGCCAGAGCCCTAGGCCTAGGTCTAGGTGTGTGTGGGGGGGGGGGGGGGGGGGGGGGGTATACAACTTACAAGTACTTTTCTCATTTTATCACTATACTGTATATGTACATGTAAAGCGATGTATTATTATGACCGATACTACAGGTACATGTACTGTATGCGAGTGGGGTATCAAAAGACTCAGCACGCCGTACACATATACATGCGCACTGCATAGTTGGGTGCAGCGTACATATCCTGCGCACTCATAGATCAGGGCCGCCGGAACCGGTCCGGTTAGTCCGGTTGCAATGCAGCCAAGGCTCCTGACACACCACGTCAGCATAGCCTCGCAATGGAGGCATTGTGGACAACTATTAAATACATGTACTACAAGTAGAACTTGTTTACGAAAGAACACTGGACAAGTGTTGCACAAAGAAGTAACTTTCTGTTTGCCTCGAACACCACTTGATTTCACAGCGAGACCAACATGATCACTAGGGATCAACATGGTCCGCATCGTAATGAGCTGTGATTTGCTAGTACTCTGCCGTTGCAATGCTGTGTGATCCATGCACAAGTTTTCCGCCTCCAGCCTGGCATACAGAATTTGTAACTCCATGGTAGGCATGTCATTGTTGTAGACGGGCTCACCACCCCTGTGTGGCAACTTCCCCTCTAACCCCCAAGACAAAGTGAATACTGTAGTCATACTGGCCGAAGTTAAAAATATATATTTAAAAAATGCCATTGTTCTGCAGTCAGTGCGCAACCCTGATGATGCCCTCATGGGTGAACATTTGGAAGAGACCCACTAGTATAGAAGTGGTGTAGCCAAGGACTGAAGAAGATTGTGTGCTGACTACAGAACGCTGGGATACGACTCGTAAATGTGTATGTTAGGGGTCGTCGCAAAAGTTTTTGTCGTCCCTGAAACGAACATGATTCATTTGGGGGGAGGGGGTGCTAGCCAAAATCGCAAGTCGACCGACACTGTACATATGACATGTACATGCATGCGATTTTCGTCATCCAGCATAGCAAGCTGTGTTCGTTTCAGAAGGAGGGGAGGGGGTCCAAGTACGAATGAACGATGTTCGTTTCAGGGACGACAGAAAACTTTTGCGACGACCCCTTAGGGACTCGAATCCTATCCCTCGTCAGGGAATTTTCTAGAACCGCCCCAACCGGTTTTCGACCGGTTGAAAAGTTACAAATCAGTTCCAACCGCCCGTACTTTTCTGTGGGTGAATGGAGCTGTGAATGGTCAAACGCTTTTTTCTGGACGGATACTTCCAGCGAAGCCGCGTGGACTGGTATTAGGGTCACGAGTTTGTGTGTCGAGTGTCATATTTGGGTTGTATTTTGAAAATAAATTCCGGGGGACCCCCACCCCCCCCCCCCCCCCCCCCCGACTCTTCATTGGACCGTAACCGGTTGGAAATTCGTCCTAGAATATACCCTGCTCGTACATGGATCACACAGCATTGCCACGGCAGAGTGACTAGCAAATCACAGCGGCTGAGCCCACTACGATACGGCCCATGTGGATCCCTAGTGATCACGTTGGCCTCGCTGTCCAACTGCTCTTAATATGCACTGCAGGTACGCCACAGGTGCAAGAGGATAGGTGTGTGGAGATTAGTTTCCAATGCCCAAACAACCGGTACCGGTACATGCAGATTGGCCGATCGAGTTCATAACTACATTCTCTTCACGGCCCAGCTGCTGCCGCCACGCCCGCTGTCATGGACGGAGAAGCTTGGGGTGACGATGCAGGCTTATCCGGCCAAATACAAAATGGAAGTGACGAGAGGGAGCGGTGTTTGCCTGGTGGGCACGGTCACCAGATGTCAATGGTGTCCAGTCATGGGACGACAGCTGATCGGGTGCAGCACTCTCATCAGCACTGTCACACACCGTTCAGGATAGTGGGAGCGAACGGCGAGCGACTTGCCGAGCGCCTGCTGCCGTTGTCCCACCGGCTATACTACATCAGGGACTTCTTCATCACGCTGGTCGTGTGCAAGTGGCGGTACACATTGCTTGCCCTGGCAGGCCTGTACTGTGCCAGTTGGATACTGTTTGCAGGTCTGTGGTATGCGCTTAACACGCACGACGAGTCCTGCTTCCATCTATCCAACTCCACCTACTCCGATAGCTTCAACACAATGTTCATCTTCTCCATCGCCGTGCAGACAACGATAGGCTTTGGCAATGACTTCATTCAGGACAGCTGCCAGCTGGGCTCATTTCTCCTGGCAGTTCAGTGCGTTATTGGACTGATGCTCGACGGCTTGCTGCTCGGCCTCATCCTGACCAAGGCGTCGCGTGCAAAGTCGCGCGCACGCACCGTGCTGTTCAGCACGCACGGCGGAATATGCCGACGCGACGGGCAGCTGTGCCTGCTGTGGCGTGTCGCCGACCTGCGCACGCGCAGCATGTGCGAGGCTCACCTGCGCGCCTACTGCTACCGCTCACAGACCACCCTGGAAGGCGAGCAGCTAGACTGGGAGTGCCGCGAGCTGGACCTTGGCTACGACACCGGCCGCGATCGTATACTCCTGCTGCTGCCGGTGACTGTTTGCCATTTCATCAACGACGCAAGTCCACTGCGACACTTGACCGAAGAGGAGCTGAGCAGGTCGCGCTTCGAGATCGTCCTGCTACTGGAGGGCGTGATCGAGGCAACCGGCCTAACCGCACAGGCCATGCATTCCTACACCAACCGGGACATTCTCTGGGGTTATCGCTTCAAACCAATGGTGAGCACAACAACGTCTGGCAGAATTGCAGTGGATTATTCCGAACTGAACGCAATGCAAAAAGTTGACATTGAACTTCCCGGGATGTGAGTTTGGTCATTTATCATTATCATTGAAAACACAGTAAAACAGTTATCCTCAGCAGCTTGACATAACAGAATTTCAGCTTTATGTACAGCATTATAAAAAAAACAGCGTAACACTTGAACTAATTTTATGTAAAAACAAAACTTTTTTGGTAAATTTCAAAGACATGAACGTATTTTTCTATCGTATACTGGTGAAACATCATACAATGATGCACTTCTATTTTCTGTAGTACAGTATCTATGAGTTTTGGAATGAATGTGATTGTGTTACATGACGTATAAGGAGCCATCTGATGGCGAAAGGTAACCGATAGCGACCAGGAGAATGTCGACGAGCGTCCACACACCCAAGCCTCCGAACGTGAAGAGCTTGGCCAGGCCGTGCCTCCAGTCACCCAGGTAAAATCGGTCAACGCCGAAACCTCCAAGTGTTATGCTGAGACAGAGCACAGGACAGGACAGGACCATTGAAGGAAGAAGAATAACCTCCCTCAACGCCTCTTAGTTCGAGATAATACACGTACATGTACATCTCAAAGGTTGTGGCCAGTCAGCATAGACTACTATTGTTTGACAGAAGGTCGCAGCCACACAGAACAAGCGGCTTCTAGCATGTGCTGACAGTGAAAAAAGTTAATTACGCGGAGTGAAGCAAACGGCCCCACCACCAGCAAGGGAGCTGTGAGTTTTGGTCCTGAAGTACTATACTAGTAAGTGAACTGGGAAGCCAGTACACCTTGAACCACCGCTTATACAGTATCCCATAAGTCAGACCTGCACTCGCGGGCGCGTGCATGTACTGCCAAAAGTGTGCTACAAAAGGCAGGAAACAATGTGGTACAATACTAGCAGCCTTCGAACACAGCTGAAGGGATTGAGCACTTTCAAAATGATTGACGGCTGAAAGCAGGCCCCAAACTCAGCCGTTCCTAGGAAAGGACATCACACTTGGGCTGAACAGGTGTGACAACGGACTAAGGTATAGGCAGAAAGCACATGAGCCCACACACAGTGCTCTAAGAGCCCTCACACAGTGCTCTAAGAACAATACAACCCACTAACAGCAATCAAGCTTACCTTAGGACGAGGGCCGTCGACCAGCGAAGGCCCGACGTCCAGTTGCATGTTCTGGTCATGAAGAAGGTTCTAGATCCTGTGAATCATAGAGAGTGACAGGTTATGATGTTGCACTGACAGCTATCGACACTCGACAGTCAGCATCACTACATGTAGTACTAACAATACCGTTAAGTCGCGGATAAAAGCCGGGTTTGCATACAAGCACATCACGGATAGAAGCCCTGAAAATCAAACGGGTCAAATGCGTATAAGCCTGTCGCGCGTAGAAGCCTGGCTTCTATGCAAGCGCGGATCGTGTAGGTCAAGAGTGCATGCGCTATGTACGGTGCATAGTAAAACTGCCGCCATACCCGTAGTCAGTGGTAGATCTACACGTGTCGCATGTGCATACAAGCCTGGCAAAAATATCAGTGGTGCTGCATATAAGCATGGTTTGCATACAAGCCTGGTTTGCATTAACGCCTGATGCAGAAAGCGGCTTATATGCTTATAAGCCCGGCTTTTATCCGCGCCTTTACGGTAGTTGTGAAGATAAGTAGAATGCCAGTATGCGTACTATCTTGTACAGTCAACCTACCCTTATAACAATAACCTCTATAACGATATTACCCTTATAACGATATTTGTCGGCCAAACCAAATCACTCCATTGACTTGTGTATACAATGCCTTACCTCTATAACAATATTGCTATAACGATATTACCCCTATAACAATATAAAATGGGCTGAACGTGCAGAGAATATATAGAGCCCACTATCCAGGTAGGGCAAGCTTTACTTGATAAGTCGCTGGGACATGTTGAAATACAATGGGGGTACCAGTGGACACCTTGCTGTGTATATAATGCGCATGTACGTCAGTTCTTTATGCGGTGAAGAGTGCAAAAAATGAACAAAATCCATGCATTATGACGTACATGTATGAAATGAACCAGTTACCCTTATAACAATATTACCCTTATAACAATATTTCTTGGTCTGACGCAAACATCGTTATAAGGGTCGGTCGACTGTACTGTCACAATTCCAGACAGCTGCAACCTATCAACCACTTCGAAGTACTATGTGCAATCCATTCCACAGTTGCGGCAAGTGAAATCCGGGCCAATGCACCATTGCAGCACGGCATTGGCGCCCTGAGCACTCTCTCTCTCTCTCTCTCTCTCTCTCTCTCTCTCTCTCTCTCTCTCTCTCTCTCTCTCTCTCTCTCTCTCTCTCTCTCTCTCTCTCTCTCTCTCTCTCTCTGTCTCCCTGCCTCTGTGTGTGTGTCTCTCTCTCTGTCTCCCTGCCTCTCTGTCTCTCTGTCTCTTTTTGTCTCTCTCTCTGTCTCTCTGTCTGTCTCTCTCTCTCTGTGTCTCTCTCTCTGCAAAATGTACATGATTCAGAGTCACAGACATCTCCAAGTTATCGGCAGTGCCCGGTCCCAGGCTGTCCGGATAAGAGAGTTATGAGTGTACTACATTGATGAAATGTACGTTAAAAACTGTCAACAAACTCACCAAGACACACCACATTGGGTTTGACGGTGCATGTGGACCGGAAAGTCGGTCGAGGCGTCGATGCGACCTGTCGGGTACGCACACAAATACGCCAGCACGCACACACGTACGCAAACACGAAAGCACGCATTTACACGCAAAATAGACGGGGAAGAGAATCATTCGCTGTATGACATTCAGCTATGGCGAGCATGCCGTGTGTGGTACATGTGCCTTTCTTTGCAACCATCCCTGGGGGTGCGTTGCAAGCTATCCAGGATTGACGGCATATCAACACAAAACAATCGTCAGTTCTGAAATTTTCAAAGAACATCACAACACAACTGCACGGTACAAGTAGCATCCTCGCAAGAGCAAACAACTTCACATACCGCGAAGCCCTGGGCAAGCAATCGCCCAGTAGGACACCCACTATCCGTGTACATGCCTAGATACAGCATGCCGATAGTTGGAACGCCTTTGATCAGCTCGCTCACCCATGCTAATGCGAACACCCATGGGTACATGGGGTAGAGTAACCGTTACAGCGCAGCTTCATGTATGTGCCCATACACAGAAGGCTATTATGAGTATGCGATTGCTGTACAGAACTGGCACTACATACCGATTTGACTGACCTAAAAGCATGTCGCAAACTCAATCATGCTACACCATGAACTGAACACAAGCAAAAATTGCACTTTCCTGGATCCTACAGCACACACGGTCCGGCTGAGGCATGTAGAACATCTGACAACACACACGGTCCATGCATGTACACAGTGACACAACTGACAACACACACGGTCCATGCCACACAGTGCCGATCATGGCAACATGCCACTCGTAGCCTTACAGTGCAGCTGGTTGAGTTTGTACACGTGTAGTCACTGGCATCCAGCTGGTAGCAGAAGCGGCACGAGACATTCCGCGTGAATGATTGCTCACCCTGCGCACAAGCAGCATTCACAGTAAGCCAACATGGTTTAAAATGCTTAGATCCAAAAAAGACAGAATAGCATCGATAGGCTCAATATAGCGGAAAGGGAAATTCCGTCTTCACACTTTTCTAAACAATCTCAGCAGAAGATATAAAATCCTAGAGCAAACACTGCATATACATAATTATATTATGCAGTGTTTGCTCTAGGATTTCAAACCAACCAGGTACATGTGTACCTGGCACAACTCCTGCAACCGGGTCAGAGCCGAGTACGTGTGCATTCAAGTGCGGCTCCTCTATGTACATCTATGTACTCACTAATCAGTGAGTCGTAAACATATCTTGCGACTCCCTGATGCACATGTACACATCCGTGTATGAACAATGGCCCGATGGGCACTCTGTCTACGCGCGCCTGCAGCCTGTCACAGTGTACCCCTTGAAGTACGAAAACGTACTCGGCATGTATACTGCCAACCGGGTCACTCACAAGTGACCAGGTGTTCTTTTGTTCAAACGGGTCCAAGTATGCCCCAACTGGGCCCCTGTTGACCCGGCCCTGGAGCAGACACTGACATGTACCGTCTAGTTATGACTCTGCATTCCACTAATCATCGGCCAACAGAATGCCGTAAACATTCCGTAAGGTACCAGGGCTATTCAAAGAGTCATCCAAGCCCGAGGGCAAAAAGAGACTCAACATAAGTGATGTGAACGTACGACAGACAGCCCTTCTCTTTGGCATAGGACGGATAAGATTGCCAGGTCTTGCCCTGGTTATTGTTCCCATATACGCATTGGATACCTCTCGAGCCGTCTTTGTTCTAAATAATTCACTTCGGCTGCAGTATAATCACAGTACACGTAGCTTCCCGATCCGCGAAGTGACCGATCATAGGTTGGGGTAATATAAATGGAAATTCAACATAATATTATCAGCTCTATAGGCACCATTGCGGTACATGTATACTTTTACACAGAAAGTCTCGCTTGTGTCAGGCCACCCGGAGGTACCACGGTGGCAAGTGCACCGCCTACTGCAAGTCAACAAATATTCGGCGCACACTAGTATTTATTTTCGGCCTGGTCATGTTTGGCCAAAAATGTGTTGCGGCCGAAATTTCGTTTCGCAAGGTTCAGTGTGACAGTGTATCCAGGCGGCAGCAGTACAGGCCGAATTTGATGCGGCTGAAGTGGGTTTTAGCCCTGGGAGGCCGAAATTTGAATGGGCCGAAATTTGTGGACTTACAGTAGTGGCGAGGGTGGGGTGGTATGTCTCATAAGCGCTGCCCAACACTGTGCGGGCGAAAACTTGTTAGCTGTATCCGTATTACCCTCACTCTGAGTGGTGAGTACCCAGTTGACCGTGGGTGTCGGTGCAGTTCATTGCACAAAAAAGTGGTTCGCACATGCATCACTGCATTTGTTAGCATGGTACACACTCCCCGCTACCAGTGCGGGTCTCAAACTCAGGACCTTGTGATTCGCAGGCAAGCGCACAACCGCTCGGCTAATGCGATGGTCGTGAAAAGAGCAAACTTAATTCTTAAATGAACTCGGATGGAGAGCCAAGGATTATTTATAAAAAGTAAAAAGGACCAAGAAACTGCAAGTTACACTATAACGTCCACTAACACCACCAGTTACTAAACAATCAGCTCATGCGATAACATTGCACGACACTGACCGACGGTACTGACGTTCTACAACTAACTGGGTAACAGCTCTAGCACATCTTGGATGCGCACTCCAACAGCCTTCCAACTTCTAAGGTATACGAATAACATAAGGAGGGGAAGGTGAGCGCAGCCAAGATAAGCATGAGCTGAAAGTCTCAGCTGTGAAGGACGTTGGCGGATGTTCATGCATGTCGATGACGATACTGGCGAGACCATTGGACAATACGGTCAAACCACTATTCAGGGACGCAAAGCAACATTCCACACAACTTGCGTGGCTCAAAAGATGCAAAGATCAAGAAAAGGGGAAGCTATGCGAACAAGAATCATGCAAAATCGCCACCTACGCGGACATGCTTTTAATAATAATAATTTAACAAGCAGCAGTTTCACACGACGTCCCCTCCTTATGTTATTTACTGTAAGACATGTATATATAACGAGGAAGTAAATCTAACGCTTTAACGGATGACATTTCTTCGTTATAATAAGATCCGTTGAGGCCATACTGCTTCATTATGTTGTGTGTGGATATGCCGGAATGCTGCAAGGTCGTTAAACATAACTTCTCGTTAACCTATGAATTTTGGACAATCGTTAAATTTGCGACTCGTTATAATAACATGTCTTACAGTATATAACTTAGAACCTTCCAAGTTGGAAGGCTGTTGGAGTGCGCATCCAAGATGTGCTAGAACTGTTAGCCAGTTAGTTGTAGAACGTCAGTACCGCCGGTCAGTGTCGTGCAATGTTATCGCATGAGCTGATTGTTCAGTAACTGGTGGTGTTAGTGAACATTATAGTGTAACTTGTAGTTTCTTGGTCCTTTTTACTTTTAATTCTTAAACATGATGTAAAAGATAGCATGCTCTCATTCCCAAAGCTTTGTGTGAACCCCAATAAATCTAGGGAAATGGGGCACATGATATTCCGGCTAGTAGATCTACAGCATTTATTGGCTTCAAACAAGCCCCCCCCCCCCCCCCCAGATCTATTGCATATTGTGGTGGAGTGTCAGCATACAGTACTGTCAAGTTCCAAAAAACTGGAGCCAGCATCATAGCCTAGGCCGTTCTTATTTTCATCATGCACTATGGTCTATGCACAGTTGAGTCACCGTGCATACATTGGTATGCTGTGCTTGTTGAAAATTTGAAATTCTAGCCAGTTTGCTGCTCGGCACCTGACAGTACTGTATCTCTATTTCTCCAGGCAGGCTTACCAAGCATGTACTCCCACTGCTGGTGCAGTTGACTAACATCGACTGTCCATATCGACACGAGTCTGTGAAGTTGCTACAGTCAATGCATGCAGCACCCAGCAGGTTACAGGCAACATTGTCCGGACACAGCGGCACGATGGGAGATGTGACTGCTCCAGGCGTTGTCGTGGCAGCACCACTACTGGCAGTACTGCTACTGCTGCTGCTGCTACTGCTACCACCGGTAGACGTTTGTCCAAATGTCACAACGAGATAGTTCAACAAAATCAGCACCGAAACTCTGAGAATACTCCTCTTCATTGCACCGGCACCGAGATGTCAGAGATGAGAGGCACGCACATGTTAGAGATAGAGTTGACTAGGCAGCTCCGAAACAAACTCGTTCGTACTCTACATGTATTCTCAAAATGCTTCGCTGAAAATACTGAACCTTTGGAAGCAATGTTCGAAGATTAGGTGGAATACTTGAGATGATTAGACGCACACAATACAGGGAATTGATCCTTCCGGCGATGTCAATGATGGGTGCTGAGTCAGTAGCCAGGTAGCACAACTATTACACGTACTGCTACTTTTTAGTAGCCGTCTTGTAGAACTACCGACCAACAAAACAAACCCAGCCACTCAGTGCACAACCAGTCACTGTGTTCTCTTTGAAAAACAAAAAGCAAGATCTGACAGAGCTACCGTAATTTTTGTGGAGATGCAAGAAATGTGTGTAAACACTATTGCATTACGTAGACTTCACCTCCATGACGAAAGAATGACGTCGACTATCTAAAAACTTTAGTTAAAGGGGGGAATTCCCGAGCAGAAAGTCCCTTTCACCGAGACTCGCTCGATCGAGAGACAAGAGTCCGCTCACAGTCACATATCAGCTCACTCACTGAGCTCAGGCAAGCTTTGCAAGACGGTGCTTCATCGAACGACGTTACGGTCAGTAGATCAGTTGTAGGTCTACGAGTACTCATCATTTGACATCAATCAAGCGCACGATTGGCTGTTGTTTCTGTGCTGTGCATGTGTAGCCACATCGTGTGCGTGTGGTGAGACACCGACTTCGATCGTTTGTTGGCCTGCGAAAACAGGCAAGTGCAACTGTTCGACCTTTCCGAAATATCCGGGATGCGCACTGAGAAAGAGAGTGTTTCCGAATTCCCTTGGTCTAACATCAGCCTTTGGGTAATCCTGAAAAAGATTATTATTATTAGTAGTAGTACAGTAGTCCAAGTACCGGTACTCTGTAGATTCTGCTGTGCTGGCCGAAGCAGAACTGTTTGAGTTTCATTGATAGCCATCCTTCTCACGCTTCTGAGCGCTAGAACTGTAGTAACGAGCCCGAAACGGTACCGGGTGACAGTTGGCTGGTAAGTGTGGGCCACCAGAATTATCCTAGTCCTAGAAAGGGTCAGTGACAACTCGCAATGGCGGACACGTCCGAGGATATCTACCACTCTTCTAGGTAGGTTCTACTCACCCTACACTAACCATGTTTGCTGAACTTTGCGAGCATCACCTGGACTGGAACAGGAAATACAAAAATAGAGAGCATGAACGCGAGACTTTGCCGTGCTGTAATGTATGTAGTAGCTGTTTTAGTGTTACGCTAACACCGCTCACGTCCGGATTCAGGATAGATGGCGAGCGCTAGTCGCTAGTAGTAGGCGGAACAAGACTATCCCTGCAGTCGACGGAAGTGATTTGGTTTCTGATTTAGTTCTCTTCCCAGGCATTCCGGAGTGTAGGCGAGAGTGGCGGTGATGAATTTCACGAAATGATCATCGCAATTTGGTGCAGGAAATCGAAATTTGACCGGGTCTCAGCGGCCAAATTGCAAAGACAAAATGCAATCATGCATTGCAATCCCCACTTGGCTATTGCTCATCCCTCACGTGTACATGTACTGGAGAGAGAGAGAGAGAGAGGGCTTGTTTTCGATTTGTTTTCAGTGAATTTCCCTTTCCCTTGCAATTTTCTACATCAGTTTACATTGAACTCCTACCCGTGAAAAGTTATTAATCCGCTAAAAGTTTATTTCACGGAACAGCAAAAATAACATGCAATTGTGCGTACTTTTTCTGAAAGCTATACATATGTACCTATGGGGACATGTTGATCAAGTGAACCGCTATGCTGAAAGAGAACGAATGGTATGATGTTAGTTGGATGCGACGCGTTATGCACTGATGATCTTGCACTGTAGTAGACGGACTTTCTCCTGCACAAACCTTATGTCACAGTGGCCAGTGATGCGTAACTGCTTTGCTTACATTTAGAGATCGCTAGCTAGCGCTGGGAGTTGTAACTAGACTTACCGTACCGTATATCGATATAGACGTACCATACCGTATAGACTTACCGTACCGTATATAGATCCGTCTGTCAGTTTCCCAGTTCAGTTGTTGCAGTCTTTACTTCTGTTTTCTTAGTCTTACGTTCACTTGAGTCTTTCTGTGCTAATAACATTGTGTCTTCGTGCAATCACTTAGTTCAATATTATTCCTTGAAACTACTACTTGCGCAATTGCGAATCGTGAGAGAAATCCAGTTTGTCTTGTCACTCGGTCGCTGATTACATGTGCAACTGCCAATAAAATGTACAGCAGAACGTGTATGCTATTGTGAACTTATCAATGTTCTACTGCGAAAGGCATGGAAAGCAGTGTCGTGAATATGGTGAAGAAATGCTTTAAGCATTAACTGTTAGTAACGCACTGTTTTCTAAGGGGACTATAATTATACGTGGATGGTTCCAATGTGTCCGGACAACCGATGCACCCGTGTACATGCCTGTAGGGATTCTTCCGACTCTCAGGGCGAGGGGGAGAAGCGGGGGGGGGGGGGGGGGGGGGGGGGGGAGGGTAGGCCTTGGCGGATAATGCCGGCAGAAAAATTGGCAGAATTCGGTACTTTTTCTGGTAAGTTTCATGCATGTTTGGTATGTGGATAAAGAAATGGAGCAGAATCCGAGGAATTGCCCGCCATAAGGTTTGTATGGTTCTGCCGGTTTTACTGCTTTTCGAGCAGAATCTGCCACCTTTTCGAGCATTATCCGCCAAGGCCTGGGGGGGGGGGGGGGGGGGGGGGGGGGGCTGAGGTAACAATAATTAAGCCCTAAAGTGTTTCCCCTGGTTGTAGCTGTTTCATGATGTGCGAAGTGTGCACATCCAACCGTCAATGGCATTTGTACTGCTTCTCACAGGCATCCTGTGCCAGCTGGCAACACGCATGCGCCGCAAACTACGCTGGACTCAGACAATGGATATCGTGCAGCAGCCCCGTATGACAGGCCAGTTCAGCGCGTGCCCCAACATGGCTACAGTGAAGTGCCACTTGGGTCACCGCACCAGCAACAGCATCAGCAGCAACCACTGCGAAACCCAGTCAGCCATGTAACTCAGTATGGCTTATCGTATCAGGGCGGTGGTCGCCATGACTACCAAGGAGCACCGGCAGCACACACTCGAGTAAGTGTAGGATGCGTTTTCGGTTCTACAGGTGTCGCTGATATATAAATCCAACCTTGTCCAACCTTGCTCTCCGGCACGGCACTGCTAATGATAGAGGTCATTTTTAGAAAATGTCATATTTTATAATACAGTAAAACCTGTAACTAAAGACCACCGTGACTAGCGACCAGCCTGGTAGTACAGACCACTTTGCCAGGCACGGACGGTCTCACATTCATATATGGCTATGCGGTGCAAACCTTTAACTTGCCACTAAAAACAGCTTTCTCTGGGCCCCAAGGGGTGGTCGCTAGTCACAGGTTTTACTGTACAAGTGCATGCAATGACAGCTGCAGATGGTTATGCGACACTTCGCCGAGATCTGGTTCACAACCCGACAGATCATAGTGATCTGGTTCACACCGCACCGTTTCGCAGCGTTGACAGTTCACACCCGGCGTCACTACACAACGAAGTAGTCACAGAACGACGTTTCACAGAGGCAATTTTTCACAGCGGTGCTTTTCACAGCAAGGCACTCAGTTGTATGAATATATTTCCTCACATGGTTGTATGAATATATGTATGAATAAAATGTTGAGTCACCTCCACCATAACACTGCGCTCTTTAGCCAACTAGACCTTCCTTCACACAACCATCACCACTGCGAGGACACTTCCGTAGACGATATTGATAAACTCCGTCAGACAGCTGTTTCGCTAATAAATAGGTCTTCAGTGAAGGAAGATGTTGAATGATTAAAAATATAGACCAAACTGCTATTATATAGGGTTTCCATATACACAACTGGCATAGCTGAGGTGATAACGTGGGAAAAGGAAAGTGTGAAGTACTGTTGACGGCTTTTGACGCGCATGGGATATGATGCATGCAGCGCACAGGAGTAACGATGATTCCGAGATCTTTGGTCGGAGGAGTTACTTTTGCCCCGCCCCCACTTCCATCCAATATGCCACCGCCCCCGCTGTGCAGCATCTGATGGTTCTGTGGTATTCAGTAAAAAAAATAAAATAAAAAACGTCAGAAATTCGGCGCGGAAAATCAATCACTATGACTATCAATGCAGAAATAACGTGCCAGAATCAGTGTACTGTGTAGCTAGGGAGAGTCTGTGTATTGCACTTGTCCGAGCGCCATGAAGGCCTGCAAACGCACCTCACGACCCGCCGACGTCGACAGCCACAGCAGACCCTGGGGCATGACACTGCACTGCTCGCCCGTCGCGCCAAGACGCTTGGCAGTCACTAGGCTTCATGCCACCAATGTTGTCCGCAAGCTACCTTGTCGTCATGTGCCCATCACCCACTGCTGCTGACGCGCCGGGAGGCCCCGCGGCATTCGCCCAGTATATCGTCGTCAGAGCTGTGTGGACGGCACAATAACGCTAGTAGAAACAAACAGTTGGTCCTATGCTGTAATAATATGTACGAATGTATGAAAATATGTCTATTCTATGCAATCGCCGGGAGGAACGAAGGCCAGGGCTGCGATCTGACGCACCTCGAGGTTGAAGTTGTCATTTGTGAAGTAGAGCTCTTGATGGCCGGTGCTCTGAATGTGTTTCTATATTATTGTGGACAAGATGGAAGAAACATCCACGTACTTCGACTTCCGGCATCTTGATTCGGATAGCATTCCTCATTCCCTTCTCGAAGTCTATGTGCATCGTATTTGGCTCAGCCTCAATCCTGTCTAGCAGAACGTGTATCAGTCGCGCATAGGTTTGTTGCATTTTGTCCGGTAATAGGGAGTACACTAGAGGGACGAAGGAGCTGTTCTGCTGTACGCCGATGATATACAGCTGCTTAAATAAGAGCGGCACCGTTTTGAATGTTCCATACCAATCATCGTGAGTTTCGAGAATTGCAATATTCACATCTGTAGAAAACACTGACATCCGCTGTGCACCCGAGGCCGCACCAGAATCGTACAGAAGGAAATTGTCGCCATTTCCTGTCTCCATGTATCGTTCAGGCATCTCCAGTGCAGCTAGCGATGCTGGACTGGCGGGCACGTTGTCAGCGCTCACTCTTTCTCGCTGGACACGCCGCTTTAGATATTTAGAAGATAGCAGTCCACACGCCACAACGGGACTAGACTTGCAGTAGATAGAGCAGACGATACAATTTGGTCTGATGATTCCAGCGTTTCTCTACTTCTTGCCACAACAGCGTCCCTCGTCTGCGCTAATGACGTCTTGCCTGGCTCGGGTGCGTGGCAGTGCTCACCAACAACCTTGGTCATCTTCATATCCATTGTAGTCAATCGACCCTTGCAATGGAGGTTATCCTTTCGTTCGCATCTCCAGTAGACCGTATTTGGCCCGTCTTTGTCCTTAACGTACGCATATCCTCGTTTGCCCCATCCCTCACACAAACAACACACAAACAACACACAAACAACACACAAACAACACACAAACAACACACAAACAACACACAAACAACACACAAACAACACACAAACAACACACAAACAAGTCAACAAAGAGGCATCTTTGGATTGAGGAATGCTGGTTTCGAAACAACTGGTTCAGTGAAGCTCATAGCAGAGCTGGTGTTAGCTCCGAGCAGAGCTGCAGTTAGCTCATAGCAGAGCTGCTGTTAGCTCAAAGTAGAGCTGCGGTTAGCTCAAAGTAGAACTGCTGTAAGCTCAAAGTAGAGCTGCGGTTAGCTCAAAGTAGAGCTGCGGTTAGCTCAAAGTAGAGCTGCTGTTAGCTCAAAGTAGAGCTGCGATTAGCTCAAAGTAGAACTGCGATTAGCTCAAAGTAGAGCTGCTGTTAGCTCAAAGTAGAGCTGCTGTTAGCTGAAGGTAGAGCTGCTGTTAGCTCAAAGTAGAGCTGCTGTTAGCTCAAAGTAGAGATGCTGTTAGCTCAAAGTAGAGCTGCTGTTAGCTCAAGGTAGAGCTGCTGTTAGCTCAAAGTAGAGCTGCTGTTAGCTCAAAGTAGAGATGCTGTTAGCTCAAAGTAGAGCTGCTGTTAGCTCAAAGTAGAGCTGCGGTTAGCTCAAAGTAGAGCTGCTGTTAGCTCAAAGCAGAGCTGCTGTTAGCTCAACGTAGAGCTGCAATGCTAAATGGATGTAATGTAGCGCAAGGCAGAGTCGCAGCAAATAGCTAGATAACACCAGTTGTGAGAGTGGACCCGATTAATGGGTACGATAATTATAATGATGGTGTGAATAAGTTGGATAGGGAGGGATGGTGGGAAAAGAAACATTGCTGAAGCACGATCCGTTGTCTGGAAGAGCTCAACAGGGCAAGCAAGATTTGTTTTCTTTTCAGCAAAATGGGCTGGTGCCATTTGTGATCACGCAGCAAAGCAAAGCGCACGACGCAGGCCCGGAGCAAGCTCCTGGGGGGGGGGGTGGTCCGGCCCCAGGTCGGCTACAGGACCAACTATTTCCACATGCCCGATTTCAAAATCCTGGGAGGATACATCTCTACCTCTATGCATTGTCTGTTTGTTTCAGCTGCACACTTCCTCTAGCAACAGATCATGTCAGCTATCACAGTAGACTCCTCTGGACAGGAAGAACAGTTGAGGAGGTAGAGACTCTAGCCTAGGAAGGAGTGTATGAGGCTTATCACTGGTACTTCCAGATAATCAAGTGCGCACTGAGCAGCCCATGATCAGATGAACGCTGGAGTTGGTGAAAACTGGTACGGCCATGGCCGCACCAGCCGTACCAGTGGCGTCGGCCCTGATGACGTCAGTCTTGAATGCAGTACAAAGCAATGCAGTGCAGTGTGTGCGCTAGTTCGGATTGTTGCTAACAAGTACTAGCACAGCTAGTACACCAGTAGATGATCTTCGGCTTTCCTCTCTTGGTAGATGTCACATAGTCTAGCTCCTTCTCCGCACGCTGGTCGCAATCATCTCCATTTTGCATTGTTGGCTTGCAGGTGGCACGCATTATGGTATCCCACTGTCCCCGAAATCTAATATTTATAGACGCATCCAGTCATGCTCCCACTGAACACGACAGGTGCGAAAATGTAATGGTGCCGAGCGGATCACTGTGGCATGTCGCACTGTGAAGAGAATTGGCTGTGAATCGCCATACCTGTGAACGGCAGGGTTGTGAAATGGCTCGCGATGAAGCGTCGCGGTGTGAACCAAATCTCGACGAAGTGTCGCGACACCACGTGCCATGCCTGCTGCGTTGAGCTACTTGTTATGGCATAGCTAAGTACACTACATTGTAGGGAGCTACACGTGACGTGCCGCTCCTTGAAGGTGGTAGCACTCCTAAGGAAACGGAAAAGTCAGCCGTATTGACGGAGCCGCTGTGATGCAAAGCCGGGACATGTACACACTAACTGTTGTTGTGTTTGTTTTGCTTGTTACTGCACTCACTGCACTGTGCCTTATGCCGCAGTTCATCAAGCAGGCATCGGACAGGAGCTCAGTAAGCGGTGGTGATGGCGCAGTGATGGCTAGTCATGGTCGTGATGATGGAACGGCGTCGCTTCCACCACCTGGCTCTTCCTCCCTTCAGGAGGACTTGTACAGCACTGGAACATTTCAGAGCCATCAGCTCTACGGAGACGGTCGTCCCAGGACAACGGCCAGCAGCAGCAGCGGCAGCAGTAGTAGTGATGGAAGACATCATGTGCCAAGCGTACTTAGTTCCTCGTACGATGCCAGTGGATACAGAGCACTCGACCATGCCCGTCAGCAGTATCAGCCAGCTGGCACTGCCCCAGCAGCGAGCCATCTCCCCAGAGATCAATACGGAGCTTTTCCTCACTCCCGCAACATTTCCGTGCAAGCGTACAGATCCGGCGAGAAAGGTACCGCTCATGATGTACCAGTAGCTCAGCAACGCTACACGCAGTGGCCTGCTTCTGTGCAAGAACCATTGGTTGTTGAGCGGGGTAAGTCTGTCGGGTCCACGCTGTCACACAGTAAGGGGCGTTCAAATTGTCTTCATCAACTGAGTTTTTCAGTGGAACTGTCATGGCGATGATGAGGTCCGATCAGATCGACCATCTCCACGTTCTACGTGACGTAGCTATTCCAAACTCTCCGGAACTAATTCGCCTCTCCCATCGGATGAGGTTGTGGAGTTTCGTTTTTTTGAAGAGGCCAATAAGGCCACCTCTTCAGAAAAACGAAACTCCTCGAAAAGTCAAGGAGTGACAATTCGAACACGCCTTAATTGATACTGTTCCCAATGGTACTGCATTGCCATCTTTGGCGAACAGTCCAGTTTGGCCCTCTATGATAGAAAGGGCAGTGCATTGCGGTTACTGGCAGTAAGCGGCAATGGCATCCCACTCGAACAGTAATCACACTGGGGACGTACCTGACTTAGATATGCAGATTGAATACGCCAACCTACACTGTGTGTGTCAAAAAAAGAAAAAAAGGGATTCACTGACCACAAAAAGTCACTTCAATCAGGTGTGTGGTGGATACCAGGCTAAAAATTAGTGGCGGTCAATTCATCAGCCTTGCAAGCTGTTGAATGGTGTAATCCCAGCACAAGTTGCTATGTCTGACATAGCTGTTCGCTATCATCGCTTCCGCGATGGGCATGTCTGAGTCTGAGTCTGAGTGTGTGTGTGTATGTATGTGTGTGCGTGCGTGTGCATGTGTGTGTGCGTGTACGTGGACGTGTGTGTGTGTGTGTGTGTGTGTGTGTGTGTGTGTGTGTGTGCTCTGTGTCCGGTAGCTGCTGGCCATAGTGCACCCAGCCATGATTCAAACCCTGGCGCACACGTGTTCTCTTCAGAAGGGCAATGTTCCTATCAGGGAGCTTCAGGTAATTGTAATTTGGATTCATGTAGGATGGGGTAGCTCGAAACTAGCTTCTGGGGATATCGTACTTGCGAGCCTGTTGTCCAGATTTTTGGACTAGTTCCGTACAGTATGGGAAGAGTGCCCCCACCTTGACCCCATCATGGCCCTGTTTTGGAGGTGCACCGGATGAGCGAGGGCTGACTATAGGTCATGCAACACACATACATGTACATTGTACACGGTGACACATTGGATGTTGTGCAGTCAGTCCATACTCGTTTCATCATTGAGTGTAAGTGAACTGCACACTTGGACAGTGAGCCGGTGCAGAGCCATGTTCCTGTGGTAACACTACAGGGCCGTAGCAGGCGGTCCGGCAGGTCCGGCAGCTGCCGGACCAATATTCGGCCAAAAAAAGAAGAAAAAAAAGGAGCTCACAGATGTGAGCATGCAGTACAGCTCAGGATGTCCACCCGGCACCATTGAAGGGGATGTGTGCAATAAGTAGTATAGAGGTAGTAGCTAGAGTAGAAATAGTAGTGCCGGTAGTTGACCTACATGTCATCAGGAGTATGACCCTGCTGAAGGTCATGTGGACAGTCATGCCCGTGAATGTTTCTACACTGTACTTCCTGAATTGTATTGATTCTTTTCTTCCTCCAATTCTTTCTAGATAGGGTTTGTACCAAAGATATTCCATTGCAATATCCTTTCTCCTCCTCCAAAGGTCCATTTTGGTTCTTTTATCACATGCATTTAGATACGGTAGCTATGCCTTCATAATCTTCAACAAGTTCTGTTTGGACGGATACAACATGCTGATGCCCTTTTCCTGACTCATGCCGAACGTCCTTCTTCCTTTTCTCGTCCTATGTCACGCTGCATGGTCACGATTACATACTCATACATGTACATGTATGAGTATGGGCTCGGGGGGGGGGGGGGGGGGGGGGAGGGGGAAGCATCGAAGTCGTATCTTGCCGGACCAACCCAAATGGGGCTGCTACGGGCCTGCACTAGTCCAATGACTCGGGCTCAGCCACGTCCTTACACCGTATGCAGGGTTCTCGCCAAAGCGACATAGCGGGGCGCTGCACCCTCCTTCACATTTTGAGCGCCCCCCCCCCCCCCCCCCCCCGCCCCCTTCACTTTTGTTCTGGCTATCACCCTGGTATGATGTATGTATGGCCTTCTTTGTACCTGGCCATACTGTAGTGTATGGGCTGATGATGACGCTGTACACTCACGGATATTTCTTATGTCATCATCATCATCATAATATTGTAGACACTACGGTGTCCAGTGCTTGATCTCTCTAAGACAATGGCAATCTTCTAGTGCAGTGTATTGCAATCCCATGCCCTGGAATTCAGTTGCGCTGCGAGAGCAGAAACAAAGCAAGACGGAGGTGTTGGGTGTGTGGTTTCAAAAGCATGTCACCGTTTTAATAAATAGCCAAAGCATGGCGGCATGGGTGCACGGGGAACACTCCCATGGAGGATGCAACCATTCCCTATGCCTCTCTGAATGCACCTGCCCGGTTCTTGCTTTTGTTTTTTTTAAACGTTTTGTGGTATTGCTGTTGTAGGCTCGGGGAGCGGTGGGCCCGCTGTGCATACATCACAGTCACAGACAGCACCGAGACCAGCAGTGACACTACGTGATGACGTCGAAGAGCGGCGCCGTCGCCTCGACAACGAAGAAGAAACCGTCAAGCAGCACCGCCAGATGCTGAAGGATGAGCGGTCCGAACTGGACGCGCTCCGACTACGGTTGCACGAGCGGGCGCGTGATCTTGAAGAGCGGGAGGCCGGTGTGGATCGACGCGGTGAAGAGATTGCAAAGACCAATGCATCGTTTGGTGTTCGGTAAGTTGGGTGTTCAAGCAAGATTGGCCAGGGCCAGGCGGCAGCATTGTAGTTGAGCACCTAAGTCCTTGTTGCAGTCTAACACCTTGCTGCAACTACATGTGCTAGTGCTTTACTCTATTGTGGTTGGCAGTACACAGCATTACTGGCTTTTTCTTGGTGCTGCACTGATAAGTCCACTGATAGTGATGCAATGCTACCTGCAAGTCTAGTGTATTTAATTTATATCATTTCATACACGTTCCGACCAAAATAACATGACGGGTATAACCTGTATTATGTGTGCATGCTGTGTGTGCATGCTGTGTGTGCATGCTGTGTGTGCATGCTGTGTGTGCATGCTGTGTGTACTTGTGATGGGTTTCATTACTATTTTTCAGCAACCGTGCAGTGCAATTGACATGGGTACATAATCAGTACTCTTAATCCTCACATTTTAAAAATTACGATTGAGCCATCTTGCTCTTGTTCCCATCCCTATCGATTATCTTTCTGCGAAGCAACTTCAGCATGATGTGATGTGGAGCTGCACGATGAGCTGTGTTCGCACTTGGTCACTTTTAATGATGGCTTGCATGCCGTCCTACCGGCAGGACCCAAGAAATCGCACTGCAAAAGTGCTTTTGGTTGAGAAATGTCTTGAAACAATTGTTGAGATGAGGTCTTTATCAGGCAAAGTAAGGGCGCAAAATTCAAGGGTATGTCCAGTGCATTGCACATGCGCAATTTTTTCATTAAAATGTTGTCAAAATGGCCGCACATACTCCTGTCAGAGCGCTAGCAACTCTGTCCAAAGTGAATTTTGACCGTGGCACATCAATCATGGGGAGGTCCTAATGTTTTTATTAACCTGCCAAGGCAGTGGAATGCATAATTCCATACTCCGTTTTCATGGTTACCATGGGCTGTTACCATGGAATTTCGTAGCATGTCTTGTACGGTCACGTCTAAAATGTGTGGCCTCCTTCATTAGCCCCTGAGCAACAGTTTATTGTCAAGTTTTAGGTCAATGTTAGAACAGAGGCCATGTAGCATGTCTGTGTATGATGGTCCTACCGGTAAGTCCTACTGGTAGGACCGAGGTCTATGCAAGCTATCATTAAATGCCGGTTCAACCCTTCAAGCACAGCACATACATTCTGCAGGATCGGGCGAATGAACCTCTGCATCATGCAGTGTGGCTAGCTTGATCTTTCTCAATCGGCCGCGTCCGAATGATACTATACCTTGTCGTCGAATATTGTACGGTAGAAGGCAGCCACGATTCCAGCGACCGGTAGCCTTGATTCCAACGACCGGTAGCCTTGATCCCAGCGACCGGTACCTTTGACCCCAATGACCAAAAGTTACAGTGCTAGGCTGCCGAGAAGTGGAAAGCGAGAGTCTGTGATGACTTTGAGCCGGGATTTACTGCATTCCCTCTACATTGTCCCGGCACAATATCAAATTCCGCCTCTTTTCTGTATTGTGTTCTTCCTGTAGGCAGGCGGAGTTTGCAGCTCAAAAGAAGGAGCACGAGGAGCTACTTGCCACTGACATTCGTCTGGAAAAGGAAATCGCCAAAGCTAGACAGCGCAGGGATGACATAAAGCAAGAAGTCACGTCTTTAGAGACGAGAAAAAGTGACTTGCTTGAAGAAATCACCTCCCAAGGACGCATTCTTTGTGATCTGGAGGAGAAGAACCAAAAATTGCGTGGACAAGGTACAGCTACAGGTACTTGCTATGCAGTAGTATGTTGTCAATGCTGTCTTCAGTTAGGTGATTTTATTGCAGTTGCCATCCTTATGAACGCAGAGGGCAAGATATTAAAATGCTGTACTACTGTAGTATACTTCGAAGTATATTTAGAGTTTAGTCAGAGACAGTAGTTTTGTTTTACATAGACATATCCAAACAGAAACCTATGGTTCAATGTTGAACTTGCATTCAAAAATAGGCTTTCTAATGTATAGAAAATACAGTCGTGGTGATGTTGGCAGTGACAATGCATCTTGTGTATGTGTTTTTAGTTGATGAGGCGCTTACTGGATTGGTTCCCACCAGATCCACCCTGGCGCAGCCAGCACATGGACCCAACTCAGCAAGACCTCCTACAAGTCAGCGCTCCCCTTTGCATGGTACATCAGCAATAGGAGCAATGAGCCACTCTCCACACAGCTCTCCAGCTTCTAAGCCCAAGCCGCCGTCAGGAGCGGGAGCTTACATGGCAAGTGCAGGAGCCGGCGTTGGCGCTCAAACCTACAACTACCTGCCTGCAAATCTACAAGCGATGTATGCTAGTGGAGAACAATGGGACACAATGTCACCTAAGGTACGGGATACAACATACCTCTGAGGACCATAGCAAATTGTACTTTGATGGAGGGGAGGATGATGAAATGGAGGGGATGGATGCGGAAAACTCGGCCTCTAGCCAAGCGTCACACGAACCGTGAATTTTTTGATGGAGGGGTACTCTACGTGCATGCCCAAATGACTGGCATAGCACAGTGCAGGGTTGACGAATAATGGCCTTACAGCCCATAGTTTTCTAGCATGATCCGAGGCAGTAAAAGTTTCATAGTAGAATGATCATGCGGCTTTGGTCTTGCGATGCAGGCACGGGATGACTATATTGCAGCACAGCTACGCGCTCACCAGAGCTTGGAGGAGGAAAAGGTCAGTGGAGTCTCTCGTACATGTTCTACGCTGTTTCATCGCAGCTCCAGGATATTGTATTTTGCATGATTTTGCATTCCTTTGTTCCGCATAGACAGATATGTGTGGTGACCAGGTACCAGGCGCACACCCTGCTTGGAAAAAGAAAGAATGTCTACTGACATTTGGCCCTAAGTTTATTGAGATCTCATGCGTGGCCCGGCAGGAGAGTGACGCCAATGGGCTTTCAGGCTTTTTGGGGCGCGTTTGGTTGGTACGACCTAGAACAGGATTTACCAGAACAGCGCGTTTGGTGGGGACTGCACCTGTTCTGGGTCGACCAAACATGTTCTGCTTGCTCCGGCCTCGAGGCTGGAGCAGACCGAGCAGTTTCACTTTATCACAGTGAAACCTGGCGGGAACTTCGATTTTGGTCCCAAATGATCAAGTGCATACGCTTTTGGGTTGGATTCATCGTACCGTACACAGTGACCATGGTGACCCATACACATTTTGAAGAATGCACCAAGTTTGGCATATTTTTCACAAAAATGTGCTCTGTTTCTGGAGTACCGTTTGGTTGGCAAGAGGCTGCTCCATGTGCACCAGCTGTTCGATCCTGTTCTAGATCGTACCAACCAAACGCACCCTTAGTGTGGCTTTTAAAGGGGAAGTTAAGGCAAAAATCAAAATTTCACCAGTTGTAGTCTTCGGGGTGCTGAGTCGAATGGTCTTGGTCCGAGAAAGCTGAGACGCTCCCTTCCTACTTGAATCCCAATCGAACTCGCGCACTTCCACCGAAACTGGGTGACTGCGCCCTACTAGATGGGGATTTGTATGCAAAATGTCACTAAAAGCGCCATTTCGTTCTTATAAAAGCACGGATGACCGCGATTGGCCCATATGTTGTAGTCTTTTGGACGCTGAGTCGACTGGTTTTGGTCCGAAAAGGCTGCGATGCAGCGTTCCACCCTTATTCCCAATCGAACGTGGTTGAACAAGCGGTCACGTGCTCCTGGGTGCCCAAATCACCTGGTCACCACGCCAGCAGGCGACAACTTTCACACCAAGGTTCAACTCGAGTTCAACTCGAGTGACAGGACTGTACCCAAAAAAGGTCAAACAGGCTAGTAAGTTGTACCCTGCAGGCACGGTGACCAGGTGACTGGTGTACGCAGGAGCACGTGACCGCTTGTTCAACCATGTTCGATTGGGAATAAAGGAGGAACGCTGCATCGCAGCCTTTTCGGACCAAAACCAGTCGACTCAGCGTCCAAAAGACTACAACATATGGGCCAATCGCGGTAATCCGTTCTTTTATAAGAACGAAATGGCGCTTTTAGTGACATTTTGCATACAAATCCCCATCTAGTAGGGCGCAGTCACCCAGTTTCGGTGGAAGTGCGCGAGTTCGATTGGGATTAAAGTAGGAAGGGAGCATCTCAGCTTCCTCGGACCACAACCATTCGACTCAGCACCTCGAAGACTACAACTGGTGAAATTTTGATTTTAGCCTTAACTTCCCCTTTAATCCGGAAAATACAGCACTGATTACCCACATTCTATATTTGTTAACTGGCTTTGATCTTACAAATTTCCATAGACATACTACTGTCCCTCAGTCTATTTCTGTGTTCCTTCGACCGCTTGCGCCCTGCACCGTGGTATGCTGTGTGCTGCTTTTCCATGTGCTTGTTCTTCAATCCTACAGGAGTCGGAACTAGTTGCCCTGCAGCTTCAGCAGGAAGAGCAAGAGGAGGCAACGCGACGAGGAGCACTGACTGCAGAGTCACTTGCAAGGAAAGAGCTAGAAGACAGGGAGCGGCTGAAGCGAGAGAAAGAAGACCGAGTATGTGACATTGACTGATGCGGGTTGGCCAATTAGGCTATTGGTCATGGTCAAGATATTGAGGCTCAGTTGGTTTGGTTATGTGTCTGAGGCATAAGGAGAGTGCTCTCCAAGCTGCAGAAGACAGATTAACTTGGCATGGCATTGTTTACGGATGCGCCAGCTGTCTAACAAGTTCACTGAGTATGCAAAGTGTATTATTGATGTATTTTAGTGGCGTGAAATGCACCGTATTTTCCGAGGTAAGTTACTAGCCACACCGAGATTTTTGTAACGGAATACAGACGTTACCCCATTTATGACCGTGTTTTTGACCACCGTAGTGTAAGCCGCACTGACTTTTTAGTGTGGCTTATACTCCAGAAAATGCGGTACTGATCACTTACACTCTACGTTTGTTTGCCAGCTCCCATCTTACTACTAGTAATTGCCAACTACATGACATTGTACTGTCTCTTAGTTTGTTTCTGTGTTCCTTCGGCCGATTGCGCCCTGCACCGTCAGGGGTGGATCCAGGAGGGGTTGCAGGGGTTCCGCGGAACCCCCTAAATTTCGTAAATGTACTACTGGCAACCATACGAGTGTCCATGTCCATGTATCAGCTATTCAGTTTTGACTATACTGGAACCCCCAGTAGAGATCGCTGAATCCGCCGCTGACCGTGGGATGCTGTGTGCTGCTTTTCCATGTGCTTGTTCTTCAATTCTAACGTTACAGGAGTCAGAGCTAGTTGCCCTGCAGCTTCAGCAGGAAGAGCAAGAGGAGGCAATGCGACGGGGAGCACTGACTGCAGAGTCACTTGCAAGGAAAGAGCTAGAAGACAGGGAACGGCTGAAGCGAGAGAAAAATGACCGAGTACGTGACATTGACTGATGGTTGGCCGATTAGGCTATTGGTCATGGTCAAGATATTGAGGCTAAGTTGGTTTGGTTATGTATCTGAGTCATGAAAAGGTTTCAGTTTTTTTTCCGCAACGGATAACCAAGAATATCCTACTCAAAAATCAAACAAACAGAGCACTAAGTGCAATATGCGGACAGTGCAGACTGCTGTGGTTTGGCCATGTGGGGCGAGAGGGTCGAGAACCAGCCTCGTGCCAAGCACTGGAGCTATCCATCAACACTACCGGTATAAAAGTACCACGCGGCCGACCGCTGTCGCCGCTACAGTGGGTAAACATGACTCGGCACGACCGGATGGCTGCTGATCAGATCCGAGGCTCTTCAAGGAGAGCTGGAGAGTGCTCTCCAGGCTGCAGTAGACAGATTATAACTTTGCTTGGTATTGTTTACGGATGCGCCAACTCTCTGACAAGCTCTACCAATAGTTACTAGTATGCAAAGGGTTCGCATTGAAAAAGAGGAAGGACCGAAATGTTACGAGTTTTGACCAACAACAGTCCACCATTGATTAGCCTAGATTTAGGTCTACGGCTTAGGACTGTACATGTCGCACACGTCATTGGTGTCTCAACGGCCAGTATTAAAGGATACGTACTTCACGTACATGCATACAGAAGTGATTGCAATAGCAGAGTGACACAACATGATAACTATGTCTGTAGAAGGTTTGTGTAAGCTGCACAGTGCACCCACCCACAGTCCCACACACTCGTATATCCGGCCCTTACATTTCCCTTCATTACCGGCTTTTTGCCCTAGTTGTGTATGAAGTGTTAGCCTGTATTCCGCTCTCATTAATTTTGTGTGCGTGTGTGTGCGTGTGTGTGTGTGTGTGTGTGTGTGTGCGCGCATGTGCGTGCGTGTGTGTGTATGTGTGTGTGTGTGTGTGTGTGTGTGTGTGTGTGTGTGTGTGTGTGTGTGTGTGTGTGTGTGTGTGTGTGTGTGTGTGTGTGCATGTTTGTGCACTAATCATGATAGGAATTGAGGGATTTTCAAATGGCCCAGCAGCTGGAAGAGGATGAGCGGCGCAAGAACCGGCAGGAGGAGGAACAGAAAGCAAAGCAACGTCAGGAGCATCAACGCCGGGAGCAGCAACGCCAGGAGCAACAGCGACAGGAGTCGGAGCAGGTAGCTGTTCGCGAATCTCAGGAAAACGCACTCCCCGATATTTCCCTGCCTTCTGAACCAGAAAGCATTGATGCGATTCGGTCACGGCTATCACGCATCCAGCCATCCTAGTTGGCTGCCTGTTGACATGAGTTACTGATCACGGTATTCCTAGCCCGAACTGCATGCGAGCTTGCTGGATTTTGCAGCTGCTAATCCACAGCCACAGCCACATCCTAACAATAGTTGCATAGTGCCATTAGTGGTTGCTATGCTGATGACTTGCATCACGATTGTCACTCATTTGTCAGCAATAGTATTTTTTTACGCCACTGCCTGCAGTACTTACCCAAGCAATGCCTTCCTTTCACGTCCACTCCCTGCACGTGCTTGAGAATGATCGCGTGCCGTCATGAATGCTAAGCTTTCTTTCTGCTTCAAGAGTATTATAATTATCCTAGCAAGTCGCCTTGTTATTATATCATGTACATGCACACACATGTATCTACCGGTCACTATGGTAACCATATTCCTGCATATGAGCATTAGTGTCCATGTGCAAGGAGTTGGTTACGTCTTGTTCGGCATGGAGTAAGAATCTGGAAATGTACCTTGAGCAAGATTCCGTTGCTGTGTTCTTGGTCTAAGAGACATAACTCGTCTCTACTGCAATGGGCAGCTGCTCATCAAGACCGGTCTACGAGATCTGGACTGTTTGGCCACCGGTTTAGTTGTACAGATACTGGACTTGTCGATCAGTCTCGTGCATGCAACAACTTAGCGCAGTATTTGCACTAAGCAGCCGAATGCCACAGTGCCGTGTGGCGTGATCTCTTTAGTACTGGTACTATCTGGACATTATGCATGGATTGTAACATTTGTATATACATCTGTGTCACCGTGTGTGCGTGTGTGCACGTGTGTGTGTGTGTGTGTGTGTGTGTGTGTGTGTGTGTGTGTGTGTGTGTGTGCGGAGGGACTGGCGCGAACGTAGCCGTCGGAAGCCACCAAGCCAGCCCCAACCAAGAGTGTTCGTCTGTGTCTGCGGCCGCGACTTTCGCCGTCCGAATGATTTATCCCGACACAAGAACTACTGCCTCGCCTAATAGCTATCATCGCCTTCGGCGATGGGCTTTCCAAAGGTCCAAAGGTGTGTGTGTGTGTGTGTGTGTGTGTGTGTGTGTTTGTGCCGGTATATGCGTGCATGCGTGAGGTGGTCAGGTGTAACCGATACTATGGTATGGACTCAGACTAACTCTAGCTGAACGGCCTACATTGTGTTTCTGTCGTTGCGGAAAACAGTTTTCCGTTACTGTCAATAAAAGCCACAGTCATTGACAATCCCATCATTGCCACTAAATGAATTTCTGGTTCAAACCGTTAAATCATCCTTATCATCCTGAAATTCACTGTCAACTCGGACAGTCGCATGTCACCGCGCTCCTGATGGGCCATGGGTGCAATACTGGACGACATGTTGATCGGTTGATACTGATAGCCTGTGAATACAAGGTGGAGAACGCACTGTGTTGAACCGATCAACCATCAAACAAGGCTTACGGACGACCCAGAACTTGCAGAAGACTACATGACTTGTGTTGTAGTAGATCGACTAGCACTGTACGAGTCGAGTAGATGTACAAAAAACAACGAGTAGATCTACGAGTAGATCTACGAGATAAAATTAAAAGTGGGGGTCCGATACCAGATACGGCGATAAGGAAGCAGTCATTTTGTTACTGACTGAGTCTGTATCTTGCTGCCACAGTCAATGCCAATGCTTGGCTCAGAGATTGCTAACGAACACAATGTTGGTCAACATCGTGACGAAGGCCACCTGATAACTTAGAAGTAAGTGATCGAACTGAACTGAAGCGTTGAGTAGATCTACCCACCAGTCCTTGACCCAGGACCAGAAGCCGCAAAGGTTGGTCTTGAGATCAGCTTGAGCTCGGCCAAGGTCGAGTCGTGCAGCTGCTCCTCCATCTCAGGAGAAGGGACGGAAAGACGCTTTGTTTGGAGGCTTTCAACAACTACTGAAGACTGAAGTCGGTGAGTATGCCAGCCTCAACCAATAAAGACCTCGCACCAGTTCGAACCACACGCCGGTGGATTTCCTGTAGCCTAGCGGGACTATTACTAAAGTTTCGGGAAATGACCAGAAATATTTTTCGTCGAAACTTTCTTATCGGTTTTCGCTTGCATTACGCCATTCCTTAGCATTATCAGCCACAAAGTAAAATTAATATGAAAAGAAGCCAGCAAGATGAGGAAGGCCGAAACTGTAGGAAGACCGTTACGACCTTGTGAGTCCCTTGCTTCTTGTGCAGAATTGGCTGAGTTGAGCGCCAAGGAGTAGACCCTCCTTGTCCATACTGCTCCAAGGTCTGTCACCACTACTGGGTACAAACAACAGGTCTTCAACAGCGTGTCATTCTCACACACACACTTTAGAGGCCGATCTCTCTTCTCAGTAAGTCAATATTTCTAGCAACCGTTTGGTCTGTGGTAATGCCCGCATCCATACTCTTGTGTGTGACTTGTTGAAGTACATGTACATATAAAGCCATCCGATGAGCAGAAGGGGGGAGGGGCGCTGGTACTTGGGTTTACCCCACGTGTTGCTTTATAACTCACTCCTGTAATTATATGTGCACTAGTCTGTTGGGATCGGGAACCCACAACGCAGCCATTGGGATAACAGGCGCATGGCTGGGGTTGAGTATCCGGGAAGGGGTTGCCAGGCTTCTACCACGTGTTCTGGTCATAGAAGCAAACACCACTTGAAGAGCGAGCAGCTGGATTTGGTCTTTCATGTTGTTCATCCCCTGTAGAAATCGGCCATGAGCTCAGGCATCGGCAGTGATGGTGCAGTCAAGCCAGCTGGTCTTGATCAAGATGATGGAACTGCATCGCTACCACCACCTGGCCCTGTGTCTCTTCTCGGTGACTTGTACTGCTCTGGACCTGTGCACAGCCACCAGCTCTATGGAGACGGTCTCCCTCATACAACCACCACCTGCAGCAGCAGCAGCAGCAGGGGTGTTGGTGGTTATCAGGGTGCTAATCATACGGCACTGAGCTCGTCGCATGATGACATTGGCTACAGAACATTCCAGCTCAGCCAACAGCAGCATAATATGTTGCCTGGTGCTGCTCCTGCTGCCGGGATGCATCTCCCTGGAGATCAATACGGAGTATCTCCTTGTCCTGGTAATGTCCCCGTACAGGCTTATAGGTCTGGCAGAGAAGGTGCTATGCAGGCTGCAGATGCAGCTCAGCAACTCTACATGCAGCGACCCGATCCTCTGCACGGGCCTTTAGTTGCGGAGCGGGGTGAGTTCTCCAAGGCGCACTCCGTCATACCTTTTTTGTTTCAAGTATGACAGAGTGAATGAAGTAATCACACCTCCACGACATGCGCTCTCTACAATGACAGAGTAACTCATTGAAACACGTTTCCACTGGCACTATGTTTCCACCTATGCCAACGGGTTAATTTTTAATTCTCCTTTACCCGTATCAAGAAGGGACCACGGGTGTATGTGTGAGTCCTGGTACCCGAATCAGCAGGGCACTAGCTGTCCTGGAAAGACAGGTGTGGTAGGTTCGATGATATTGCCCGTGGATCTTTCTTTTGCAACATTCCAACCTTTAAAAAAAAGAGTGAAATTGCTATGGTGATATGATACAGGCTGCGTAGCTTGAAAGGTGCTGGTGATACTGAATATGTATTGGAAGTTACTTAGTACGTATCTACTATTGCACGATTAAAGAGGTCAATATATGAAATATAGAACGAGTAAATACCGAGGTCCCCCCGAGGTCTTTTACGAGGTCTATATTTCATATATTGACCGATTATGAGGGCAATAATAGATTTATCATGACATAGCATACCTAAACTGTTTTTAGCTGTGTTTATAGGAAGAAAGGAATACTATTGTAATAGTGCATAGTACTTTATGTACATATGCCGTTTACATTGGACATTACTTCTCTATAAACAGAAGTTTCCAGTTGTCACTTGTAGTATGTCCCCCAAGTTCTTTGAGGATCTGACAGTTTGAGTTTGAATCCCAATGTTTGGCTTCAGATTTTTCTTCTTTCAGTTCTGATTTTTTTCTTAGTTGAGGAAAAAGTTCTAAGTCCTCGGGCTAAGTGGTCAATAATAAGTGGTCAATATAAGCGGTCAATATATGCTGATATTTGACCGCTTAGAGATCACAAGTTTCTGTGGGGGTCAATAATAAGTATAGGATATTGACCAAGACGAGGTCTATATGGGAAATATAGGCCGAGTAAAAGACCGAGGTCCGCCGAGGTCTTTTACGAGGCCTATATTTCCCATATAGACCGAAGTCGAGGTCAATATCCTATTTATCACGATTCCTTTGCCATAACCCCAAATTTGAACCTTTAGGAGCTATTCTAACCTTTTTAGTATAGCATTTGTACTATAGTGTACATAGGATGTTGCCTATTTTGGGTACAAGACTGTAAGAACAACAGAGTTCAACATCTGCAGCACAGTGGCTGGGTGGTATAAGGGGTTGCTTGAGATTCATACTGTTGTGCGTTCGAATCCTGCTTGTTCTCTTCCTTTGTCTTCTTTCTTTCAAATTTTCTTTTTGAAGTGGAGAGAAAAATTCTAAGTCCCTCCAAAGTCGAAAGATTACAATGCCTAAGTGGTCGATACAAGCGGTCGATACAAGCGGTCGATATTGCGGCGATATGGGTAATATAGGACCAGTCAAGGATCACGAGAATTAGTGGAGGTCGATATAGAAGAGTGATAAGAGAGTGATAAAGGTGCATTGCACTCCGTAGCTTTTGGCCAGGATGCGCTTAGGCTGTGCTGTGTTCACATGAAGCGTTTCAACCCGGGTTGAGTTCGACCCGGGTCAGATTTCAACCCGCCATGTACACAAAATGAATGGCGCGTTTACATGACGCATTGCGCTTGACCCGGGTTGAAATTTTGCCCCGGGTTGATTTCAACCCTCCCCCCCAAGGGGAGGGTTGAAATCAACCCGGGTCAAGAAAATCGTACAAACGTACTTCTGTGCGTAGCTCGCGCCAGGTTTGAACAGCACTGCACATGCAAATTTCGCGCGAACGGATTCACGTGACCATACAGGACTGTAGAAGTGGACTTTTGGCGGCATATCAGTATTTGACCCGGGTCAACTGTCTTCATGTAAACGCTCACCTCTTTTGTCTATCGTACAGACTTTCAACCCGGGTTGAAATTTCTCATGTAAACACAGCCTAAGTCACGATCCGAACAATGCATGTGTGGGTGTGTGTGTGGGGGGGGGGGGGGGATGGATGGGGGTTGGGTTGGGGAGGGGGGATGCTGAATGTGTCCACTACCTTTTTTTATATCGCTTGTTTGTGGCGTGGTTGTGCTGTAGACTTTGTCAGTGGCAGACCACCAGCGCTTACATCACAGATAACACCGACCGACATCGAAGAGAGGCACAGGCACCTTGATGACAAGGAAGAATCCATCAAGCAGCAGCACCAGATGTTGAAGAAGGATCGGTCTGATCTGGATTCCCTTCGACGAGCGTTGCATGAACAGGAGCTTGCTCTGAAAGAGCGAGAGGCCAGTGTCAATCAACTCAGCGAAGGACTTACAAAGAGGGATGTCGCGTTTAAGGTTCGGTAAGGCAGCGGTGTGTAGCTTTTGTGCAGCATAATTATGTACCAACATTGTGGGAGGGGGCGGGGGGCATTGGGCAGTGAGAGTTGCCTCAACTAGGTGCATTCCCCAATGCAATGAAGTTGGCACACAGATCATAATTATCGCTCCATATTATGTAATACAGTACGCCACAACATGTCACATACCGTCATGCTTTTTGATTGTGTTCTTTTCATAGGCAAGAAGAGTTTGCAGCTCAAGAGAAGGAGTACCAGGAGCTGGTTGACACCGACTTTCGTCTAAAGAAGGAAATTGCCATGGCTGAACAGCACAGGGATGATTTGAACGAAGAGGCTGAGTCTTTGGGAACGAGAAGATGTGACCTGCGTGAAGAAATCACCTCCCAAGGATGGGTTCTTCTCGAGTTGGAAGAGAAGAAACAAAAACTGTGCATACAAGGTACACATGCATTTATGAAACCTCACTCCAACACTCCAATACCGGTCTCTTCACGCTGGCAAATCAAATGTATGTTTCAGCAAGTTTTTAGGCCTGCCGGGCCCAACATGAGACATGAGGGTGCGCAATAAGAAAGGTTTCTACAAGGTACTGTACATGCTAAATATTCCGGACCCTGGTAATGGGTAGGACGAGAACTCCCTTCCCGCTGACATGCTAGTGTTATGTGACTACCCCGTAAGGCCTGGTGTCAGATGCACCTCCTAAATGCATGATGTGGTCAGATTAATATAGATCAGATCCACCAACCGGAGAGACCAGAGACCAAAATACAATGTTCCACATCCACGTTACTATGACTACCCCGGTGCCAGGTCACGCCTTCACAATTAACCATGAGTCGCAGCACGCTTAGAAAAAAAGCCTGTCTGCTTCAAAGCAGAACTTTGCCCTGGTGCCGCTCTAGACTTACATGCTGTTCTGTGCATGGTATGTATATAATTACAATACCGTAAAGTCGCGGATAAAAGCCGGGTTTGCGTACAAGCACATCCCAGATAGAAGCCTGAAAATCAAACGGGTCAAATGCATATAAGCCTGTCGCGCGTAGAAGCCTGGCTTCTATGCAAGCGCGGATCGGGTAGGTCAAGAGTGCATGCGCTATGTACGGTGCATAGTAAAACTGCCGCCATACCGGTAGTCAGTGGTAGATCTACGCGTGCCGATGTGCATACAAGCCTGGCAAAAACTCAGTGGTGCATATAAGCATGGTTTGCATACAAGCCTGGTTTGCATTAAAGGGGAAGTATACCCTAAAATCAACTTTTCACCAGTTGTAGTCTTCGGGGTGCTGAGTCGAATGGTCTTGGTCCGAGGAAGCTGAGACGCTCCCTTCCTCCTTTATTCCCAATCGAACTCGCGCACTTCCACCGAAACTGGGTGACTGCGCCCTACTAGATGGGGATTTGTATGCAAAATCTCACTAAAAGCGCCATTTCGTTCTTATAAAAGCACGGATGACCGCCATTGGCCCATATGTTGTAGTCTTTTGGACGCTGAGTCGACTGGTTTTGGTCTGAAAAGGCTGCGATGCAGCGTTCCTCCTTTATTCCCAATCGAACATGGTTGAACAAGCGGTCACGTGCTCCTGCGTACACCAGTCACCTGGTCACCGTGCCTGCAGGGTACAACTTACTAGCCTGTTTGACCTTTTTTGGGTGCAATCCTGTCACTCGAGTTGAACCTTGGTGTGAAAGTTGTCGTCTGCTGAGTGCTGGCGTGGTGACCAGGTGATTTGGGCACCCAGGAGCACGTGACCGCTTCTTCAACCATGTTCGATTGGGAATAAAGGAGGAACGCTGCGTCGCAGCCTTTTCGGACCAAAACCAGTCGACTCAGCGTCCAAAAGACTACAACATATGGGCCAATCGCGGTCATCTGTGCTTTTATAAGAACGACATAGCACTTTTAGTGAGATTTTGCATACAAATCCCTATCTAGTAGGGCGCAGTCACCCCGTTTCGGTGGAAGTGCGTGGGTTCGATTGGGATTCAAGTAGGAAGGGAGCGTCGCAGCTTCCTTGGACCAAGACCATTCGACTCAGCACCCAGAAGACTACAACTGGTGAAAATTTGATTTTAGGGTATACTTCCCCTTTAAAGCCTGATGCAGAAAGCGGCTTATATGCTTATAAGCCCGGCTATTATCCGCGACTTTACGGTATTTTAAATACTATCATGGAGCAGTTCATTATCTTACTGTGCATATTGTCTCCACGTTCAGTTCATTCGTTGATCACTGTACTTGACTATTCTCAGTAAGGTAGGGCCAGCCTGTTCCCAGCTTGGCCAGCCTGTTCCCAGCTTGGCCAGGCATTGACACAAACAAGCGAACAACTGTAAATTGGAGCAGCATTCGTTTAATGAGTTGGGAAGTTATGTACTAAGTATTTTTAAAGATTCGAGAGCGAGTCTATGGCACAATGCTGACAGTCATGTATAGTGTAACTTATATTTTTTTAATCTTTTTTTCCCCTTTAAAAATATACCTATCATGCACCTTGCCTTGGATGCGTGGCACTGCATCTCTCTGACTGGCATACTTGGTGAAAACTTGGGAACTGAACCTGCTGCTGCTGCTGCTGCTCTTGTACCCCCCAGTCCCCTCTCCATACAGGGCAAGTATTAGTTGGAGGTCATACATTTCGTGCATGCAATGCAAACTCAGACCACACCTCCAGTTCTCATGGATCGCAACAAAGATGCACGGCTACAGTAACACTATTGATTCTGTGCTGTGTGTTGTGTGCTGTGTGTTGTGTGTTGTGTGCTGTGTGCTGTGTGTTGTGTGTTGTGTGTTGTGTGTTGTGTGTTGTGTGTTGTGTGTTGTGTGATGTGTGTTGTGTGTTGTGTGTTATGTGTTGTGTGTTGTGTGTTGTGTGTTCTGTGCTGTGTGTTGTGTGTTGTGTGATGTGTGTTGTGTGTTGTGTGTTGTGTGCTGTGTGTTGCTAGTTGATGAGGCGCTCACTGGATCGGTTCCTGCCCGGCCCACCACAGCACAGCCAGCACAGCCAGCACATGGACCCAACTCGACAACACCTCCTGCTACTCAGCGCTCGCCCTTCCATGGTGCGTCAGTGGCAGGAGCAATGAGCCACTCTCCACACAGCTCTCCAGCTTCTAAGCCCAAGCCGCCGTCTGGAGCTCACATGGCAAGTGCAGGAGCCGGCGCTAGCTCTCAAACCTATAACTACCTGCCTGCAGATCTACAAGCGATGTATGCTAGTGGAGAACAATGAGACACAATATCACCTATTAAAGGGCGCATTCACACCAAGGGATAGAACACTAGTACCGGTAATGGGAAAGTCGCCATGACATTTTTTTGAAATGCGGGCTCACGTGACTTTCCCAGCAATAAAGGCAGTAAGATTTTCCCGGGGGCTCTCTGAGGGCCCGGAAACACTTTACTGGTGTTACTGGTGCGAGATTGAGGCAACTTTCGAGTGTTGCTGAAGACTGAAGTAGTTTGTTATTGAAACTCATTCGGCTTTCTTTCACCTTTTCGTCACAATGCCCCCAACGCTGTTTTCTGCGGACATGGAGATTAATTTGATGAAATTTTATGAGCAGGTGTGGGTTCGAGCCAGCGGATCCACTCTGAAGGCGTCTGAGAAATATAGCCTCGTTGCCGAGAAACTGAATGTGACGGGGAAGGTGGAAGGGTGGCGGGAGGTGACCGGCAATAAAGTGGCGACGAAGATAGATACCCTGAGGGTGTCAAATGCTCTCTACTACTCAAGTAGGTTCAGGCAAAAGCGGAGAACGTGTTGCATTCAGGAGACTGGGCAAGAACAGCATCCATCCTCATCTTCCTTAAAATACAATTTCAAACCAAGAGCATGAGTACGATCCGAGTAGTCGGATCGGACAAGCTCATAGCATGTAATTTGACCCCGGAACCCATGCAGATACTGGTAGATGTGAATGCAACACTTCACGTTTCACGCTAAAACCGGCAGGAAAACTTTGCTGGTATCCCGTGGTGTGAATGCGCCCTAAGGTATGGGATCAGTAATGAAGTGTTACTGAATATCTAACTTTGATAATCAGTAACAGTTGTTCTGTGTGTAGGTAGGAGGGAAAGGGGGATGGTAAGGTGGCCAATACTAGTAGTCAGAGTCAGTTCCGTTCATATGCCTTCAGCGGTCATGAGCAGGATCAAGTGTGAAAACATTCTGACCTATTGGACTTGAAAGTGCTGCATAAATAGTAAATACCAATCCTAATTATAGTGATCAACAATATTCCGCAAATGTGCTCATATCACAAACATTGCAACCAAAGAAAGTGTTGTGTCTAGAACGTTTTCTCTTCACAATCATCAGTGGCATATCGTAACTAAAGGGAAAGGGGAAATACAAGAGCAACAACAACTGCTACTATTGCTACTTGATCTTATTAGCTACACCACCAATCCTCAGTTGTACTACATGTACTTCAAGAACGTGTGTAAAATAATAGTTATTAGTTAGTGCATGTACCGCTTTTGGATAGATTACAATGTCGCATGTTATCGGTGGCTTCGCACACACACGAATGCAAGTTACTTCATAGCTTAAAGCCTTTCTTGTTGCACGGATGCAGTCACAGCGACACAATCTATTTCTGTATTTTCATGTGCCACTCTCCGCTGTCTCCATTCATTTTGTCTTGCACACCGCACAGATGTCAGAGTTCGCTGCGCTGCAGCTGCAACATGAAGTCTGGCAGCAGGATGGTGATCTCCAACAGGGAGCAATGGCTGCTGAAATGCTGGCACAAAAGGAGACAGAGGACAGAGAAAGGCAGAGGCAAGAGAACAGACTCCAGGTATGTGAAGTGGCAGAACTGCACACACATACCTGCAATGGTGCGGAAAGTGCCACATACCCTCATAAGTCCACGTGGCCAATGACCAAATTTCGGATTTGAGGTTGCAATGAAGATTCACATTCGATTGACGCTGACGGTACGGGAAGGCTGGATGAGCTGTAAAAATCTGGCACTGAGCCTTCCTATACATATGCAGCCGTGCACACCCCCCCCCCCCCCCCCCACCCCGACCAGCTACACCCCTGAGACGAGTTGACTTTGTCCGCATTTCTTGGCAGGGTGTTCAGTTCCGGTCCATGTCAGGCGAAAACTGCAGTCACAACTCGCGTGCACATTCTATATGGGGCCATATAACAGCTCTTTGGTCAGACTTCGAGCCCGCTTCCATCTGATCCCGTGGCCAGTACTCCCTTGTCGATGCTATTTTTAGGTAGCTGAGGTCATGGCCTTTCCATTGATGCCACACATGCCTTGCTTGAACAAAAAGACTGCCGCGCTCTGCGCAGAGACATAACAAAGAACTGATCTCGACCAGATGCGTACTCGGCCAGATGCCACGAGGAACGCCCGATTTTCGTGTTCAGCGGCCTCGAATTAGTCTAAAACAAGAGGATTCTATAGTCCAACTCGGATGGTGAGCCAATATAGTTATGATGAAGAAAGGAAAAGGACAAAATGTTTTGTCGCACTCGCTGACTGTATGCGATCTGGTTGTGGACAGTTTGTCATAACTCTTAACATTTTGTCCTTTTCCTTTCTTCATCATAATACTATAGTCCATTCGCCAAATCGGGGCCCCTGATACACTAAAGCTACATGTATGTGCACCGTTTTGAGGAACTCTCTGTGATGGCCCAGGATCAAGCAGCTTGGAGAGGCTGTATTCACGCGGCATAGCACGCATGCAGTCGATCTCTAGCGGAGGAACAGCAGCGGAACCATGTGTTGCACAATACATGTACCATACGTATCGTGTCAATGCATATTGTACGCGATCTGTCAAAATATCTGTCTGAAAAAACATTTTGCACATATCTTGATCGATTTTAACCGCATTCACTTCATCTTAGGCTTAGAATAACGGCTATCATATGTCTGACCTATATATTATGATAGCCGTTATTCTAAGCCTAAGATTAAGTGAATACGGTTAAAATTGATCAAGATGTGTGCAAAATGTATTTTTTTAAGACACAGATATTATGTCATCGACTTCACGATCTTGAATAAGAAAGTGAGAGTGTGAAAAACCTATGGGGCCCAGATTTGGTGAATGTGCTATAGAACACTTAACATCTGTGTTCACAACGGGCGCGGGGACGCGGTGAGCTAGCGGTTCATCCGTGCCCAAACACGCGCTCAGGCTTTCACAAAAAAAACAGCAATTCGACTCGTATTTAGGACGTGCGACGCCTTCGGGTACTAATGTTTTGACCCCGCCAGTCAAGGTGACTGGCATGTACGCTGGTACGCGCCTGATATGCGCTGAAAATTCCAACATGTTGGAATTTCCATTTCGGCGCGTTTCCATGCGCATGGAAGCCTGCAAAAATACGCACAAATGCGTGGTTTCACGCGTACACGCGCCAGTTGTGAACACAGCATTAGGCTCGCACTGCATCGCGGTAGCAGGAAAATGATCGCGGACACCAGCCCACGGCGATTTCCTGGTGGTGGATGACTAAAATCGAGTGAACTGCGCGCACGTTGTAGAAGCGTTGACGGTGAAAACGTGTGAGTTGTGCGAGTAGGCGGGCGCGCCCGGCCTGCATGCACACATCCTGTATCGCCCATTCGCCCCGCACTTTGCACCTGAATGTACGCACCAGATACAGTAGTGCAGTGCTGGACGGAAACCACGCCGTCCACATACATACTTGCATTGCTTTCTGTGACTTGTTTGGCCCCCATTTCCAATCTTCAATCGACTATAACTCTAGATTGCCTTGGAATTTGGAGTCAAATTTCCACAGGTTGTTTCTCACATCTTTCCGGTTTAGAAAAACTAGCGTTTTATGCAAAACTCACGAATTTGATTTTTCGAGTGAACTCCCTATTTTTGTTTTTTGAGCCCTCTTTCCATTATTTCTCCTCAAGTGAAGGGGAATCACGCTCACAGTACCTGCTTGCCATGAACACCAATTAGCCATGAACAGTGTGCCAGTCCAAGAATACTCGCCCAAAAGTTTTGCTTAACGTAATGGGATGTGCAAGGCTATATCCTGCCCGCCATGTGTGCGTGTGTGCGCATGTGTGTGCATGTGTGCGTGTTTGTGTGTGCATGTGTGTACGTATGTGTGTATATACTCAATCTGCGGACAGCATGCTGTTTCGTTCTTTTTGAACTCATCAGCGCAGCACAGAGGAAATGAGGCCGAACCTGATAGCAATGGAAATAAAAATTTCCAATCAGGCCCGAATGTACCTTGCCAGAGTGCTCAAACTGTAAAGTCAGTGAGCTCTGCATAACGCAAACAGCAAAGGCACTACCCCACGCAAGAGTGCTCAACTGCTACAAGAGCAGGAGCGAAATACTCAATCTGCGGACAGCATGCTGTTTCGTTCTTTTTGAACTCATCAGCGCAGCACAGAGGAAATGAGGCCGAACCTGATAGCAATGGAAATAAAAATTTCCAATCAGGCCCGAACGTACCTTGCCAGAGTGCTCAAACAGGCTGACAAGTCAGTGAGCTCTGCATAACGCAAACAGCAAAGGCACTACCCCACGCAAGAGTGCTCAACTGCTACAAGAGCAGGAGCGAAATACTCAATCTGCGGACAGCATGCTGTTTCGTTCTTTTTGAACTCATCAGCGCAGCACAGAGGAAATGAGGCCGAACCTGATAGCAATGGAAATAAAAATTTCCAATCAGGCCCGAACGTACCTTGCCAGAGTGCTCAAACTGTAAAGTCAGTGAGCTCTGCATAACGCAAACAGCAAAGGCACTACCCCATGCAAGAGTGCTCAACTGCTACAAGAGCAGGAGCGAAATACTCAATCTGCGGACAGCATGCTGTTTCGTTCTTTTTGAACTCATCAGCGCAGCACAGAGGAAATGGGGCCGAACCTGATAGCAATGGAAATAAAAATTTCCAATCAGGCCCGAACGTACCTTGCCAGAGTGCTCAAACTGACAAGTCAGTGAGCTCTGCATATGTGCGTATATGTGTGTATGTGTGTGTGTGTGTGTGTATGTGTGTGTGTATGTGTGTGTGTATGTGTGTGTGTGTGTGTGTGTGCGTGCGTCGTGCGTGCGTGCGTGCGTGCGTGCGTGCGTGCGTGCGTGTGTGGTGGATACCAGGCTAGAATTAGTGGTGGTCAATTCATCAGCCTTGCAAGCTGTTGAATGGTGTATTCCCAGCACAAGTTGCTATGCCTAGCATAGCTGTTCGCTATCATCGCTTCCGCGATGGGCATGTCTGAGTCTGAATGTGTTTGTGTGTGTGTGTGTGTGTGTATGTGTATGTGTAAATGGAAAAATAGGGATTCACTGGCCAGAAAAGTCACTTCAATCAGCTGTGTGGTGGATACCAGGCTAGAAAATAGTGGCGGTCAATTCATCAGCCTTGCAAGCCGTTGAATGGTGTAATCCCAGCACAAGTTACTATGTCTAACATAGCTGTTCGCTATCATCGCTTCCGCGATGGGCAGGTCTGAGGTCTGAGGTGTATGTGTGCATTTGCGGGCAATATTGATTGTGTCATTAGGAGATGAGTGACTTTCAAGTGGCTCAGCGGCTGGCAAGAGAGGAGCAGCAACAGCAACATGAGGAACAGCACCAGGCGCAGCAACGGAGACGGCAACAGGAGGAAGAGCACCAGGCGCAGCAACGGAGACAGGAGCAGATGGCCGTTCGCGAGTCTCAGACGGAAGCACTCTCTGACGTTTCCCTGCCTTCTGAAGCGGAAGGCATCAATGCGATTCGGTCACGGCTGTCACACATCTCGTCGTCCTAGCTCTGCATGTGTGTATTTCACACATCCTTGTGTGGAGTACGTATGCCTAGCTAAGCACGAGACCGTGGCAAAGCTGCGTATGTGCCGGCCTTTACGCACATTAAGACACTGCTCATGCTTGCGGGTACATGTATGTGGGTTTGTGCTCTTGCCCAGCTGCTGAATGATCCTGAGCATCTCTAGATCACTGAGTAATTGCTAACTGTCATCCTGGTCACAGAATTATTGTATACTACGTGTGCTGTGCAGGAAACTTGCACGGAAAACCAATCACATACGATTTCGCACATCTTCCTTGTACACTGTACTACTCGGCTGCTGAAATACAAATCTCATTCTGCACTACACTACAGTACTGTCGGGTGCCGGCGAAGAACAGAGCACCCAAAGAAAGAACAGAGCACCCAAGAAAGAACAGAGCACCCAAGAAAGAACAGAGCACCCAAGAAAGAACAGAGCACCCAAGAAAGAACAGAGCACCCAAGAAAGAACGGAGCACCCAAGAAAGAACAGGCTAGGGTGACTTGGCCCACTGAGCACAGCCAGGCTACCGATTGTACGTGGTGACTCTACTGTAACAAACTCTAACTACGGCCTAGGCTACGACTCTGACCCCCCCCCCCCCCAGTTCTTCGCCATGCCCGATAGTACTGTACCCTTGTATTTGTTTACTCCCTCCTTGTGGCATGACTGTACAGTCGGGATCATGGCATCATACCGTAGTGACGCACATAAAGGCCCATGCGCCGAGGAGTGAGTTTTTGCGTCATTCATTTGCTATTTTTTTGCGGGGACGTTTTGTCTCACACATAGGCGCATGCGCTTGAGTTGCTAGTGTACCGGTACCTTGCATAATTATGCACATAGTGCAGTACCGCAATGGCGGGATTATGCATATTGAACTATGTGGACATGGTGTTTTTGTGGTGTCTGTGTGTCACGGGATAGACTGCATTTAGGTTCACTTATAAGCCCATGCGCTTATTTGAGAAGGTGCGCTTATGCCCGGTATAGGCACATGCACTTATATGCGTGTCACCATGGTCACTATGGTAGCAACTATGCTGGAAAAACACTTTCCAAATGCTTTTTATGTACCGTAATCTTGCGCATTTACTGATTTAGGGACATGTTCTTATTTTCGACTATGAGCACTCTCACTTATAGGAACATGCACTGATACTTTTTACTTTACTTTACTTATAAGTGAAGTAAAATCACAAAACCGCACGAGGTTCATCATGGTTCCATTGTACTGGCATTCACCAATACCATGCGCACTTTCACATGTACATGTCGATGTTTGTCTCTCGCATAATATGATAATTATTATAAGACCATGGTCTCTTATAATCGATCGGAAAAACGCACTTGTGAAAGGACCGAAAACAGCGACTTTTCGATTATAAGACCAAGACTTAGTTATATACGCACGGCATGAACTGAAGCCAACCACTGAGTCTGTTCAAACTGTAGCCGCTGGTGGAATGTGGTGCTCAGTGTCGGACAGTTTGTTCATATCGCAGCAGTCTGGGTGCTAGGCCGGAATCTTGTGATCATTGTCAGCAGCAGTACTGTAAAGACAACGAGTGGTAACAGTTAGTCTGGTAGACTCTTTTTGATCTTCTCAAAAAGTGCTACACATTCATTCGACTCCTCACCTGATTGCACACGTGCCAATTCTACCAATTTTGGACTATTTTTTAAAGACATCTCTTTTCTAAATCTTCGACCAGAATCACGGGCTATACTATAGTACCGGTGCTGCCGCCGCACTGTACTGCATTCACGGAGTGTTGCAGAGGGGGGGGGGGGGAGACATGGGGAAGCTGCCATACAGGAATGTGAACCCCCACTCCAGCAACGGCACCGCGGCGACGGCATAGCTCGCTCAAAAACCTCTGTTATGTGAAGTTCTTGCGTGTTGCTCCCAACGTGGGAGCTCGCGCTTTTCCTTCCGACCTGAAATGCTGGATGCTCACTTGATTGACTCCCGACTGCCATCGATCATTCCAGAGCATACACATGAGAAGTCCATCAAACCAGGGAGTTCTGTTGTTTAAACGACTCCCTGCATCCAACCTTCCACTCGGCAGACCTGCAAGACAGCACCGCTCCTTGCTCCATACACAGTCAGCAGGAAAGTGTGAGCTCCCACCGGGACTTGGCCCAGGCAGATTCTGGTCCGGTCGCCTCGATATTTGGGCGGGTGGGTGGTGGAACAGGTCTGGTGGCAGGGCATTCCACGTTGCAATGGTGCAAGCAGGGAATCCTTGGAGGCAGCTATTCCGGGTGTTGGCAGGCAGGCCAGTTGTCATCTGGTATGGATGGGAATCCTGCAGCTGGAGAGACTGACGGGTAGGTCTTGTCTCGGGGACACGGTGAGTGGCTGGTTTGGGCAGCTTCAGAGGGCTGGATGCATCCAGATAGCAGAGCTTGTAACATGATCAAGTGACAGTCCCACCTGGAAGCAGGCCGATTTTAATATAACCGTGCTGCGACCCACTTAACAGTGAGACATGGCGACCTGGCGCAAGGGCAACAAGGATGCAGTAAATGGGATTCCGGCCTGTGGTCTTTGACTGGTGGATCTGATCCACATCATGAATGTCATTGTACTAACAGTCATGTAGCATCCTCCCCCGCTGTTGAGGAGCTGCATGGTGAAAAGTGACCATGGACATAATCATTGGTGACGGTGATACTTCTGGAAGCCTACATAGTTATAGTTATACAAGAGAGATTGGAGGCTTTGTTACAACTCCGAGTTTCACGTATTACTACGATCATCAGGTTGCCTGATGATCGTAGTAATACGTGGAACTCAGAGTTGTAACAAAGCTTCCAATCTCTCTCTTGTGTACAAGGCTCTGCCCTACATGGGAGCTCTCTTCGGACAGTGAAGCACACCACTTGACTAGTTATAGTAAGTAATTTAGTCTGTTATAGTTATACCCAGTATGGCCGTGGTCCGTAATCATGGTAATGCCGGTGTACATAATCGTTATGTACTGGTATGGTCACTCCACTCTCGATCTCTGGTCTTCGTCACTCTTGGTAGGATCGGTATGACTGACTCTGTATTTATTGAGCTGAAAGTCTCATCAGGCCAAGTCAACCAAAAATCAGTGCCAATGCGGCAGTGGGTCATGGTCTATCAGCATCGCCCTCTCTGAAGTGGAGTCTTGACCAAGCGCAGCGCGCTATCCTACGTGTCCCCGCGCCTGTTCATACACTACCACACCAGTCACTAGTTTACAAATCGCTCTTCATTTGCCTTTGGCTAGTGCTAGCTAGCCTTGATCTACATAAATTCTTTTTTCTACATAAATTCACTACTACTGTATAGTACACTACAGAGTACGACTCGTCCCATAATAATGATAATAATTATTATTATTATTCATGTGCACGCTAATTTGAACGCTATTATTAAAAATACAATCATGCCCAATCATGTAGACTTGAATGATCTTACCCCCATGGGTGGCGGGTGCGCTTGCACTTGGGTTGGCGACGCTACTCACGACCGCTGCACCACAAGTCATTATACACTGTACACACACACACACACACACGCACGCACGCATGCGCACACACACACCACACACACATGAACCCTACCCCCCCCCCCCACACACACACCCACGCACGCACACACGCGCCCCCCCCCCCCCACACACACACAGGTGTCAAGAGTACAACACACTGATGCACGCAACATACTGACATACTGACATACTGACATACTGAAGTACTTACGATTCCCGACCAGTGTAGTGACGACAGTGCGTATTATCAAGTTCAATACTGACAATATTCATGACTAATATCACGCGGGTCCACCGAGATGTTGTAAGGTGACTGCACATCGTGACAACCCGGTAAACCGCAAACCTGCATTGACACTTGGGGGTCAAGACAGACAAGAGTCGCATGTGATCAATGGCGGCAGCCAGCTCGACGACCACCTCGGATCGCGGATCGTGTGGATGGGCCAGAAAGACAAGGATGCTTGTCACAAAGTTGTTTTCACTGATGCCGAAAGAAAACTATACTGAGTTCGCTACACCCTGTATGATGCATCGTCCACCGGAGATGTAGTCATGTAGAAGTATGTGGATACCGGAGATACTAGTAGTTGCTTGGCCAGACATACCGCATTGCCGACCCGTGGATTCCTACGGCGCTGCACTGGTAGGCTGCGAGCCTGGGAGACATCCCTTTCATATTACGTTTCGGAGAATTGCGCCGCAGCGTCCCACACCAGCGTGAAGTTCAGATCTTTCAGGATCGTCTCCGCGCTGTGCAAGACGAAGAGAACTTGGAACGAAGACCAGCTCTAGACTGAAGGTGAGTGCAACAGACCGCTTTCTTTCGTAACTTTCGATGTTATAAAGGGTACAAGTGTAATAATAACCTCACATAGAATGTACTACAGTACATCTACTGTACATTGTATTGATGAATACTGCTGTAGAAAGTTGGCAAGAAGCACCGGTACTAGTCTGAAAGATGGCGTTCAAAACACGCCGACCACCAAACGCTCTATTTACATGTAGCTGCAAACAATGTCCTGTGACATGTTTCAAATGTGCACTCGCTCCTTTCACTATCAATATCAGCTCGCTCCTGGTGCCTTGTTGATGGGTGGCGATATCTTGCTTGGCAAGCCGATGCATCAGGTCGCGCTAGGCGCAATGCCGACGACACAACAACTGCTCCCAGGATGGACATCTTCAGGTTGCATGAAAAAGGAAGGATGATAATGGTTTGAAGACCATACAAATGTACTTTTTGTTCTTGGAGACATTGTTCTGCCAAGAGCATCTCAGTAGTTTTGAGTTTTGAGAACTACAAGGAGGTTTGCGCTGCGTCAGGGGTATATCTTGTTTGTTTTGTTTGTTCGGCCCGGGTTATTTTACTTTTAGGTCGTGGTTTTTCGGTTTCTTTACCCATTATATTCTCTTCAACTTTAACTGAACTGGGTCAGAGTACCAAAACCCCATGGGGATGTGTTACTGTTAGGACGTGTAATTCGTGTAAAAACGACCAAAACTATCCATACGCGTGGTGGCATTTTTCGTCGTAGTTCTAGTTCGTCCCGTGCATCTTCCTTCTTTCCTTTGCGTTTCGTTTCTGCATGGCCATTCAGTATGTTCTTCTCTTCCGTCCCTCTTGA